GTCAACTAAATATAAATATAAGTAGAGTTATGAGTAGAGTTATATTTGTAGTCTACAAATATAATTCTACTCATATCTCATCTCTAAAAATATAACTCTATTTATAACTCTACTTACGTATTAATATGACTCTACTCATAACTTTACTTACATGTCTATTTAGTTGGCATTCCACATCACTCCCTAATTAAAAAACAAATAAAAGAAACTTTATCCTTTCTTTTTATTCTTTGGTTCTTTTCTTTTATTTCTCCTTTTCACCATCGAGTCGAAAACTCCTCTCCTCGAGTATGTCTTCCTGAGAATTATCATGCCCAAAAAACCAAATTAATTGGAGTGACACCCAATAAACTTGTGCCTCTGTTGTCATTAGTTTTGATTATGAATTAAGTCTCGCATTGTTTGGGGCTCTCTCACCAATTTCCTATCTCTAAGAATATGAGTAATCAACTAATCTATTGCGTGAAAATTTTCGGGAGCCATAAAAAGCTAATACCTCATAAATTAACCTAAAGTTTAACAAGATTTTATGAGGTAGATGGTGGCGAAGAGTTTCTTTTCAATTGGAGAAGGAACCTGAATTTTATTTTCCTTCTTTTTGGTTGAGGGTTCTGCGTAGCACTGGTGAAAAGGGGAAAAAAAGAGTGAAAAGAAAACAATACTAATAGATTTTATTTTTTAGTAAAATAAAAGAAAAAAATAATAACCAGGGAGGTGATGTAAAATGTCAACTAAATATACATGTAAATAGAGTTATGAATAGAGTTATATTTGTAGAAAAGAATATCGGCTTATTATCCTTATACTTAAATAAAAGGCACAGTAGACAAGAAATAATACCCAAGAAATATACAAGGACTACCGTCAAATCGATCTCGTCCGCCGGATGGGGTTGATATGCCGTCAGCGACTTAAGCGGGGCAAAATTCGAAGTTCAGAAAGTTTACTTCCAAATTTTATATTTTTCCTTCGGTTAAAAATAGCTGTGTTTTGAAAACCGGACCGGCCTGGGCAGTCTAACCGGTTAGCCCGGGAACTAGGAGCCTCACCGGTCCAGTTTCCATAAAAAACTGAATTTTGTATAACCCGGTCAAACTCGGTCAAACCCGGACAAAACTACGGTTTGACTGGAAACCGGTACCGGTTAAACTGGTTTTTGCATATATTTTTTAAAAAATTAATTTTAAATATTTTTTTAACCAGTTTTTACTGATTTCGAGGAACAAACTAACCTGTTAATCCAATAAACCCATCAATCCGGTCACGCTAACGGTTCACCTTCCGGTTCGGTTTTGAAAACATAGAAAAATAGCACCTCTTTTTGGGAAAAATCCCCAGGCCAAGAAAACGACGTCGTCCATCCCTCCCCCCTCCCCCAACTATAAATTCGAACGATGACTGCATAATAGACTTCAACTCCCAACGCTCGTTCTCAAATCACCCTACCATTGAATCGGCCATTCATCAACGGCCATTAAATCGCGTATAGGGCCTTGTAAATAATCCAATTATTATCATGAACAAATACACTTGTCTGCTGACGAATTGATTCTTCTGCTTATGAATTGAGGTCCATTGTCGTTATTCACTCCTGGTTTTAGGAATTGGATGTCTATTAGGTTTTCTTCTTACAATTGTTTTAGGATTAGGAAATTCAAGATTAACAATTTAAGCCTCCTTTGGACAAACAACATCTTTATTTCTTCAGGAATTGATGTTGTTAATTTTTCTTCGATTTCTTCTCTTCAGGCTGCAAACAATGAAGTTTTGTCAACTCAATTTATCAAATTTCTTCCTACAAGATAGCCAGTCTCTTCATCGGTGGCCCACTGCACCTCTTCTCCTCCAAGCTTCCAAGTTTCTTTTCTGATCGAATCACATAAAAGCTTCCAGGGTCTTTCTCGGCCGATTTAGGTATGATTTTTATTTTTAATTATGGTCGAGCTTCTTGAAATTAAGTGGATTCAAATGGGTGTTTATTCTTATTTTTTACTGGGTCTGTTTATTCATTATTGGTAGAGGATTTAATATTGATCCGTTTAATTTAGCAATATTGGTCAGTTTATTGGCTCTGTTTATTCTTTTTTTTTTGATATTGAGAATCTGCCTGTAGTTAGAACTTGCTACGTCAAGGTTTGTTTAATTTAAATTTAGCTTTCTTTCGTTACCACTGAGGTGTCATCTTCGATGAGAATCTCCTTGTGATTATCATTATCTTGTTGTTCAGTACCGTACTTAGTCGTTAGTCTTTTGCCTCTCATGTGGCTGTTCAATAGCTATTTTCAACTTATAATGATAAATAGCTCAATATAGTGAGGGGGTAAATCATATGTCTATTCTTTTGTTCCTTGACCTTCCACTTTTCACCTTTTTTTGTGTATTCTTTGTGTATTTTGATAGTATGCATCGGCATGTGAATGGATCAACTTGAACAACCAGAACCTTCAAGGAGTTTGTATTTTTGCAGAGCCAGATTGTGTAAAGTAACATACTATAAGTGAAAACTGGACTCCTCTATCTAAGTAATTACTGGCTGCTAGAAATTCCCCTAGGTTGTGCCTCTTTGGTTGTTGGAGGCAACAACCATGACCCTTTTGTAAGAGCCACAACCACTTTTTGTTTTTTAAGTTAGTACTTTTTAAAAGTTCAACAGTTGAGTAATATCTTCACCTATGGTCGCAAGTATTAAACTTTGAAACTGCCGGGGATCCGAGTAGGTTGCTGCCCCTAGGTGCAAGATTTTGAAGTGGTGTTGGGTTTTGATCGATTACCAGAAGTGGTGTTGGTGTTGGGTAGCTGTTGGTTTTGGCCCGAGGTAAACTTTAAGGGGTTAGTATTAGGAAATTCTATGCGTACGAAAGAGGATTAGAAATATGTTTACCTATTCCCTTAATTGTATTAGGATTTGGAAACCCTTTCGTTTATAAATACATCACCAAAAAGAATAATGTGATTTCGGAGAAACTTACCCCTTGTTTGACCTTTTTTACAAAGGGTTTTCAATATTTTTGTTTATAAAGTCTCATCATGATCTCTACTGGAAATCCTTTTCTGCCTTGTAGAGCTCAGGTAGTGTCTGATAAAAAATTTATGCACATTATTGTTGGTTCCTTGTGTGCCATCTGGTTGTGTCTTGAGTATAGAAGCTCTTTTTTGTTGATGTTTAATTATATCTGTGTCTCACTTTTCCTTGTTATTCCTGTGCTCATTGGATCAGCTGTCCTCCTTTGGATTGCTCCAAACCCTTTAATTTCTCTTCCTTTTTCTTTGAGATGATTTTTTTTTCCTAGATTTGTATTTAATGTGTATCACTTTCTGCTCAAATTTTTCAGTTTATAAAACTAAAGAAACACTTCATTTTCAATTGTTTTAACTTGTTTGTATTCCTTCTGCTGTTGAAGAAAAATTTGAACCAAAACATTTGAGAGAAGCCAAAGATGATGATACTCTTCCTCACTGCTGGAAAGGGAGATTCATTTTGAAGCATAAATGAAAAGACAAAATACTTGAAGCCCCTACCACTGAGTTTCAGCAATGGTTGAGAATCGAAATCTCAATTCATTTGTTATATTGGTGAGTGTTTCAATTCTTCCTATTGTCTTGAACAAATTGCCTTTCAAAAACTATTTGCTAATAGATAGCTTCTTAGCAAAAAAAGTAACCAAGGAATAGCTGGTAAACAACATTATAAAAACTATTTGCCAATAGATTAAAGGGCTAACCATAGGATTTTCTTAATGGGTTATTTTAGAATTGGCTTATTTAAAACCTTGTGCTCACTAATTTTCCAAGCTGTCCATCTCATTGTGAAGCTATATGCTTTCAGAACATCAGTATTTACTATTCAGATTCTTTTACCATTCAGATTTCTTCTGAACAGCAGGCTACTGCAATTTTTAAAACGCATATGATTGCACATGCTAGCTTGCTAGCTAACTACAATTGATGATGACAACGTTGTATCACTATTGCTGGTGTTTCCAAACATGATTGAAGAATAAAACTGTTTTAATGCTTTCTAGACAAATTGATCGTAAATAGTTGTGCTCTTTCAATGCAAGGCCTTGCTAATCTGACAGAAAACTCTGTGAATGCAAGGATGCATATGAGAATGTGGTTGGTGGGAACCTAAGCATGAAAGAAAAATGCTTTGGATATGAAGGTAGCCGGCAGAATTTCCGGAAAAAAAGAATACAACGAAGTTTTTTCAAATTTTATTCAATGGCCTGAACGATTCTTTATTTTGGCATCAAATTGAACAACACAAAGACTTTCAAATATACTGGACTAGCTCCATGAGCATTCAACAGGAAGAAGCAGATTTTTTTGGCGACCATTTTGAAGTACTTCGCATCCAAAATTGTAAATAGTCTTTTTACATCTGTAAGCCTATTAACTCATGAAACAACAAAATATTGTAGAATACAAGATTTCAACTTCTGTCAATGGAGTTTCTTTTAATTTTTTTTTTTTGCTTCACAATATTATAGAATACAAGTAAATTTGATTGAAATATCATTTCTATTTGCCTCGAAATATGCAAATGCAAATGCATTTTTAGTAGGGATTAGATCACATTGAGAGATTTGGTAAATGAACAAATTTGCAAGTAAACACGCAATTAACATTAATTAAGTTATATAAAAATGACTGAACAAAAGGATAAGGTGTTTACCTAATAAATATGAAATAGTAATTTAATTCTATAATTTGAGTGAAAACATCGGTGAAGATCCTAGCAATGCCTCCTACGTTAAAAGAGGTGTTAGAGGACGACAACAAGACTCGAAACGTCGTTTATAATAGGTCTTCGAGCTCACCGAACAGTAGGAAATATTAGGGCAAATATGGCTCCCGTTATTTTGATCTAAATTTTTTCTCCTTTTTTACATAGATATTAATGTTTATTTGCCATAAACATACACAAAATATTTATTACCGTTTTGTTTCTCTGATTATATATCTTTCAACATGTTCTTTTTTCCTTTTCATAAAAATATGTTCTTTCTTACACTTTATTATACACTACTACGTCTAACGGAGTAAACAAATGTTAAAATAGACTGGTCGCGCAACGCGCGACACCAAAAGACTAGTATGTATATAAATGTGTGTAGTAGTGCTATAAATTGATGCACGCTAATTTTTTAATCGTCTGCTCCACGCGCCAGTCGCTTTACTATTGGTTCTTGCCCCCCTTCTCCGTCTAAAAACCCCTCCGGTTAATACTGTCCCTCCGGCATCTGAATCTTCTTCCCGGCTCCGATGAAAGAATAAACAGACTGAAGAAATTGGACTTCAAAAATTGGTATATTTATATATATTTTGGGATAACTTAGAGAAAGATGAGGAAACTATCTTTGTTCCTGTTTCTGCTGTTAATGGCGTCAATGGTTCTTCCACTAGTCCTACCAATTCAGGCTGTGGATTCGGAAGAATCCATTGGCATGAAAAACTCACCATCGGTGCAGTGGGAGGTTTTAACAAAAAGTAACTACTCCTCGGAAATCCGTCGCCACGCTCATATCCTTCTGATGATCACCGTCCCTTGTAAGACTTCCTTTACCTTTCTTCCTTGGACTTCAATTTTTCTGCTCCGTTTTGTCAAGCATTTCTGTGAAATATGCCTTATTCTTAGTGTTTATGTCCTGTTTATATTGATACGAGAGTGATTTAGAAACTATCGTAGTTTGCATTTGCCTTCTGATTTATTTTCTAGCTACTAGGAAAACTGTATTATGAAATGCAGGCAGCCTAGAAATGGAAAAGAAAAGCAGTGAAGGAAACCAATCGATCTCATGCTTTTTAATGGATATGAACATATTTTACTTATGTGCAAGAAACTTGATTGGTGATTTAACTGTTTTTATTGAGCTTTTGAGGTTGATATAATCCCAAAGCTTGCTTCCGCAGAGATTTGGCGTTGATTTCTTAAAAAAGTGGATGGGCGACCAAGAGTAATGAATGGAAAGTAGCTAGGGCATTACTGATGTAATTTTCCTGTTCCAAATTTCCGTCCCTGTTTTACAGTTATGAAAAATGTAAACTGTAGTTTAACTTCGGAGGCAATTCCCAGGCAACTCATTAATTTATTAACTACTATGAAAATTTTACCCAGCACATGAAAAAGAAATATCACACACCAATCACTCATGAATTAAGAATCCCTAGATCTTTATTAGCTATTTGCATTCCCTAGGTTGATTGACTTGAGCCTTTAGAAATTATAACTTTGTAGATTTAGTAGGAGTGTGTTTTAGGGTTCATCAATTCAAAGTGAATAGAATTTTAATTGAAGTTTTATCTGTCTCTAATCTTTTTTCCAGTTTATCCGGAAGTTTATCCTGAATGCTTTTCCAGTATCTTGCTTACTCTGCATTACTGAATGTTTGGTTGGATTTTATGAAATGGATGACTATGATTATCTAGGTTAATTTAGCATTCTGCTGTAAATTTTTGAGAAGGTGATTCAACAGTTGCTTGTTCTCTATCAGTGGCAGTCATGAGTGATTCTTAAATTTAATAAGGCACAATCATTAGCTTACTGTAGAAAGAGTTCTGGTGTGTTTGCTAATTAGATTGCCCATCGTGCTGATAGTGACAGGAAGGATTTGTCCGCCCCTTTTGATGGGAGATTTATTATCACTTTTGGGTTAGCTACACGGAGCATCCTTTCTTACCCTTGGGGGGTCACAGGGAAGGTCTCTAAGAGATCATTTAACACAAAGGACTAAACATTTCCAGGAATCAGAGCAGAATTCACCTAGCTGCTCTGTTCTCAGTAGGAGAAGACTCGCCACCAGATATATTCGCTTGGTCAATTAGCAGGAACTTCACTGCCCTAGCGGGAAAGCCCTCACTTTGGGCGACATCGTTACCCCCAAGAACAAGAATAACTGCAGGGAAGATATTATTAAAAAGGAAAATGAGCCTCATGACTAATAATTTCACTTGAAGAGGGTTGATAGTAGGTTTTACTAGAGCAATTGACGTAGGCTATAATAACCTAATATATTTTGAGTTAAGGAATGAAACAACTAAAAACAGAATATAGGTCAGAGTCTGTATGAAGCCTGAGGGTGATAGTTCTTGATGTAAGTGCCATTTTTCCAATTTCCAGGTGGTCAAGAACAAGTGCTACCTAGTACTTTATGCACTCAGAATCTCTTGATACATTTTTGTGTTCCACTCGATGTTTATCTTTTTTACTAGTCTATGTAAAGGTTTTAAGCCCTTAGACACATCTTGTTCTATCTAAATTTCATCTTAATTATCAAAAATTTTGCTAATCCTACATCTTCGTCTATTAAACCGTACCTTTCAGATAAGTACACCCTCATGTATAAGGGTGACTTTACTTTAAAATTCATTAGAATGTAAATGATTACTATTATAAATTAATGCGACTTTCAACACTCAACAATAAGAAGCCTTTTTCCCTCTATGTGGGGTAGGCCATATGGATCATATATGAATTCCATTACTCACTTTAAGGAATTCAACTTCAGTTCATGAAGCAAAAATTGACAGCCAACGCTTGAAGCAATATACGACTGTAATTTTCCAATAATAATTTCATCAATTATTTCACAGAATCCAGAGTTTGTGTATTCTGCAGATGTTACCTGGTTGGATTTTTAAATAGTGGATGGATGTCAAGATATTCTCGATATTGAATTGAATTATTTTATTTGTTTTGTCAGATGAATGCTCATGTGACCAAATGAAAGTATCTGTGTTATGATACAATACTATTGTGTAACTGGGAAACATTATTCCTTCTCTTTTATCATTTCACATTATTGCACAATTTTATGTACCTTTTGTCGCGTTGTTACTTCTTTGGACACATTTTCTTTTGTTCTATCTCTTAATAATGGTAAAAGTATGTGAGATGTTAGTTACTGGTTCTTTGTATAAATTTAGTGTGCTGAACCTTTTCCCAGGGTGTGGTGAATCTAGATCCCTTAAGAAGGAGTTGGTGAATGTGATTCAGAGGGAACCAGAGAGGTTTGGTACATTGAAGTTGATGCTAGTGTACAGGAACAATGAAAGAATGCTGGCAAATGCACTTGGTGCTTCTGAGGGTATAACCGTTCTTTATTTCCATCATTCTGTGTCCTATAAGTATGGGGGAAGGCTTCGAGTACAGAACCTCTTAGCTTCCATTCATTCTGTCATGTCTGCTCCTCCTGATGAACTTCCTTTGAAATTCTTGAAAACACCATACGAGTTGAGGAATTTCTTTGATTCAACTGACAAGGCCATGCTTCTTTTGGACTTTTGTGGGTGGACCCCCAAGTTGCTGGTGAAGGGTAAGACTGGAACTCTCTTGGCACACTCATTGTTTTGCATTAAATACTTCTTGTCTTTGGACAAGGACCTCGATTTCTAATTATTGTCCTGTGCTTTAATCTCTAACTAGCTGGTTCATTTGTTGACAAGAGATGAACATGTGATCAAAGATGATTGAAACTAAGTCTTTAGAGGAGTTTAGGTTTCTCCAGTGAACTTTTGGAGAACGATATAAATTGGAAATGGCACTTTGGATTTCGAAATTTCCTTTCTATTGATCTTTATTTACTAGATATCAGCGGACATTTTCTATTGTTCCCAGGAAACCGATATGGGAAAAATTGCATTTTTTTGCCTTATAGTTTCGTCCGCAATCTCATCTGAAGTTCCTTATCGTTGTGGCTGATTTAGTCCCTATCCATTCATTTTGTAGCACATTTTTGAAAACTAATGAATCGATGCAAATGTCCCTCAGATTTCCTTGTTTAAGTTGCGAGAAATCGCATTTTTGTCCCTCTCTTCCATTTTCAGACCCTACTAATTTTATTCCCAATATCTAACCTATTTAAGACAACTGTGTTTTTTCCTTTGGAAATTTCTTAGAGCATGGAGATGGTTTCATACTTGTGTTCTTCACATGGACATACACCTATGGTCGTTAAGGGGGCCAGTCTTACAATATTTTTGATGACCAAAAAAATCTTCCTTTTGTTATTGTAGATAAAATTTTAGGTGTTAAGTTGTTAATTTGAAATCAGATTATATGTTTCACATGCCTCTGTAAGATATAATCTATTAAGTATAAATACACTTCTTGTTTGCTTTTGAAGCCATGCCGTTGTTGTACCTTTATCTCTGATTTGCATGGATGTATATTGCTAGCCAGCCTTTCCCACTAACTGACTTAACGAGAACTATTTTCCTGATGATGGCTAGGTTCAGTTGAAGAGTCTAATGGAACACAAGTTTGGGAGGAGAAGAAGCAGAAGGTGGATGGTATTTTCTGTCAACATCTTCATGATGCTAAACATATGAAACCATAAAAACCTGCTATGTTTGTTTTGGATTCCTGCTGAGCAATTCTCCTTTTAAGTAGGCCTCAGAAGACGGCCAAATGAGTTGCAACGTGAATGATGGCTTCAGTGCATTTCCATCTTTTGCTGACTTTATTCTGCGGACTGATGGCATATTGCAAGGAGCAGAGAATACATCCTTCGGAGAAGGCTTTTCTTGTACCCTAGATGAGCTTCAGCGACTTGAATCTTTCTTCCCAAAATTCATAAAGTTGGCAAGGGATTTCTTTCTTCCACCTGAAAGGCAAGGTTTTGGAGTGGTATCTGAGAGGTCGTTACTTTCAGACTTGGTTAGCAATGCTTCTGCTTCCTGGTTGCTAAAGTTGTATGCAGCTGGTTGCCCGAGCTGCTCGAGGATTGTTGGAGAAGGCGATGACCTCAAAGTAGCTATAGAGACTCAAGATTCCATTGTCAAAGAGGCAAGCTAATCCTTTTTTTTTTTTTTTTTCCGTTGCTTTCTGAAGTTACATGTCGAGATGTTTGTGTAATTTGTTGATTGCAGTTTTGGATGGCTAGACATAATTTCTGGCACAGCATGTTTAATCAATCTTAAGTGCAATTTTATTTTTTATAAGACTCTCTTTTGATTACTTCTGGAAACAGCCTCTTTGTGAAAAGCAAGAGCAAGATTGTGTACCACCACCCCCCCCCCCCAATACCCTCGTAGAGGTGGGGAGCCTATCAGCATCGGGCATTGTTTATGATATGATAGTACTTGTTTTCTTATTTTTTGCTTTAATGTTTACACCATCTCATCTAACCTAGTCTGTTCACTGTTCGGTTAGTATAACCTGCGTCGGTGTAAAGGAGGGATGGCTTTTTTTAAAGGGATAAAGGACTTTAGTTGGTCTTTTTCTTGGGAAAAAAAAAACTTGGGTGTCTATTGAATGATGCTTTTCATTTGCGGTCATCTTTCTGATTTTGATATAGGCACTAGTCTTCTAGTTGTGTATAATTCTTTCATCAATGGTGTTACATGTTAAAGGGAATTATGTCTTAGTACCTCTTAGTTACATAGTTTAATTACAATCTATTTATCAAAAACTTCAAGCATAGTTTATTTCTGCTTAGTTACCATACTTCCAGATAGAGGTAATTGTGATCAAAAGGGGAACTGATGTAGAATGATGGGTTAGATGGACTAGCCTACTAACCCCAGAAAGAGAATGGGATGAGTGCATGAAGAGTAAACTGTCATCTCTGGGAGGGGAAAAACTAGGAAAGGAGGGGGAGCGGGGACGAAGTTATCATTGCACTGATTGCCCAATGATTAACAGACCAACTAAAAGCTCCTAGTGACTGTTAAACAACCTGCCGATTTTCCTTTTTATAAGTATTGTTTCATTGAAATATAATTAGACCTTGCTACAGGTTTACAAAATCTCTTCATTTTAAATTAAATATTAAAGACTGTTCGACACGTATTGTAGGCTTCCTGGAGATGAGTAAGAGAAATTGCAGTTTTTCTGTGGAAACTTTGAGGGACTTATCAATTTTAGTCTCTGTTGTTATTAGATACATATTTCCGGTCCCCTCAGTGTAAATAATGCATCATTGTTGCCTATATTTTTTGCCAGTATATGATGACTTGGTGAATAGAATTTGGTGCTCTACCATTATCCATTCTTTATCTTATGTTAGAATAGGAATTGCCCATCATTGATCACGTGCTGTTATGTTTGGTTGAGTTTTTCATAAGGATTAGACATAAAAGCATTTCCAAGCTTTTTTGGGGAGTTTTGGGATTGAAACTGTCATTCGTCTGCGAATGGTTACATGTCATTTTCTGTTGTTAGTGCTGAAACAAACTAACCTAAAACTATGTTAGAGTTGGTCATCATCACATGCTGTATTAGAAAAGCAGAAGGCTCTGAATAAAGTAGCCACGTGGATGACAAGAAAGTAATGTGCATTAGCTCAGAGGATTTTTCTTAGTGAAACTTACATTTAGAGAACTTTCCCTTATAAAACTCCTTCGTTGGTCTTGCAAAATCTCGTTGCATAAAACACAAGAACTGTTTTCTAATTTTGTTACAATTATGTTAACGGCCAATTCTCATTCAACAGACAAGGTACTTCTGACAATCTAAATTATGACGTTTACCATGTTGAGAGATTGGTGTTGTTATGACTGCATAAGCTTTCTGTTCTCCATCGTCTCACTGAAATTTGTTTAAGCAATTTATAATTATATTCTGTGTTTTTGTGAAATTTGTTATTTGTGGAGCCTTTTTTGGGTGAGGCAAAGTTCATTATTCATACTTTTACATACTCATCACTCATACTTTGGATCTGGATTACATTTTGATGTAGCCATTTTTGCGTAAAAGTTTGATCCCATTGAGTTTAATTTCTATTTACTCGTAGTTTCAGACATTCTTGTCTATGTTACTGAAATGTAAAATCAAAAGCATTATGTGGTAGTAAGGCCAGAACTTCTCTCTGTTTTTTTTTTTGTTTTTTTGTTTTTTGTTTTTTTTTTTCCCTTCTTTTGTTGGTTTTTTTCTTTGGGTTAAGTCCACAACACCTCTTGATCCACAGTGGATCCGAAACGGGGGCTTTGGTCTCAACCTGTTATTTGATTGTTGCACAGTTTATCCTGAAACTATCTCTCAGAAAATTTATTAGTTTTCTGAATATATTTCTGCAATTCTCATAATTGCTACTGTAGTTCTAAACATGCAAATTTTTTACTTTTATTAAGTTGAGGAGGTGTTCAAACAGACTCCACATGTGCGTGCTCTTTTCTGCGCTCAAGGCATTTTGCAAGTTAATCTAATATCAACGGTTATTACACACATCTCTGTAGTTATTTTCCTGACCTGAATATTCTTGTTCATCCTGCTCAAGCACTGTGTAAGCATATTTTACTCTAGAAAATCTAAATGGAAAAAAAATTTATCTTTCCGTGCTCCTATAATCAGAGCAGGTCTCAATCTATCTATTCTGCCTCAGGTACTTGTCTTTTATTTTGGCATGAGGTAGAATTACGTTATTGATGTCTATTGGTCCGTCTTCTGTCCCTGTGGGAGTGCATTCTCTTAGCTCTTGTGATCTTCAGTTGTAACTTGGAATTCCTGAACTGGAAATATGGTAAAAAACAATCACTGGAAACTATTTTAACTGTCCAAAAAACACAGAATCTCTGGGGCTTGTTGCGGATATGGTTTTACTTATAGCTATTAGTGACTGTTTGTGTTCATAACTCCATTCTTTTTTTAATATTATGCAGCTCAGAGATGATGCACATGATGTACCAACTCTACCTGCAAATGGCGTGTCAGTAATTCTTTTCATTGACAGATCATCTGAATCATTGTCTGTCTGGAAAAAGAGCATGGAAGCTCTCCATACTTTCAGAGACTTTGCATTGCAATTTCAAAACTCAAATCAGAACTGTGGGAAGGTGGAGAATGCTTCCTTTGAAACTTATAAAACAATGGGACCGCCAAAGGTCTTGAATCCACAGTTGTTTTCATCATTGCAGAGTCTAAATCAGAAGGACAAAACATCTATAATGATATTAAATGATGGGAGGCAAATTTCACTGCAAAACTTCATTTCAGATTTGCGGGGTAGTTCGTTGCCTGAGGTCTTGGCTAATTTGCTTCAGGATAAGAACAAATCAAAATTTAGCTCCCTAGCGAAAGATGCAGGATTCCAACTTTTATCCAATGATTTTGAGATCAAAGGCACAGATGATATACAGAGTCAACGGGAACCTGAACCTCACGCAAGTGAAGGTTTGGAAGTCTCTCCAGGAGTTGACCACAGGGATATTGCTAACCCAGACAAGGACTCAAAGTTGCCGATCCCTGGTGCTTTCCCCATAATGAAAGATGAAGAAACGAGTCCTGCTGGTGCTGGATCCTTGCAGCAGGTTGGCAATAGTAATCCTCTCCAAAGAATCGAAAAATCATCTGAAATACTATTCAATATTCATACTAGTAAAGTAGATAGTTATTCTGAAGACAGCAATTTTGAAGACGAAAGACTTGCAGGAGTAAATGAGCAAATACAACAGAAAAGTTGTAGTATTTCATTTTTCTTCAGCGATGGCGGATTCAGATTGCTGAAGGCTCTTACGGCTGCTCACCGGGAGATTCCATCATTAGTGATAGTGGACCCCATGGCTCGGAGACATTTTATATTGCCAGAGTCTGATATTTCCAATATTTCTTTATTGTCGGATTTTCTTGATCGATTTCTCAATGGAAGCCTTCTGCCCTATCAGCAATCAGAGCATTTTGTTCAGAGCCCTAGGGAAGCTCCAAACCCTCCATTCGTAAATTTGGATTTCCACGAAGCAGATCCTATTCCTCGAGTGACAGCAAATACATTTGCAGAGATGGTCATCGGCAATGAATCTTACTCCAAGGCTGATAATGCCTGGAATACTGATGTCGTCGTTCTATTCACCAATAGCTGGTGTGGATTTTGCCAGAGAATGGAAACGGTTGTTCGTGAAGCATATAGAGCAATTAAGGGTTATGCCAATATGTTGACAATGAGATCGAGTGAAAGTCTTTTATTGAATAAAGGTACCTTTAACTTAGCATCAATTATCTGATTTCTTTCTAAACAAGTTAAATGCATTAGCTATTTGAGCTTGCTTTTCACTAGTGCCAGTAGAAGTCCTGTTTTAGGATTTCCTATATTGCAAGTAGCACATTTTGGACATCGAAATTTTTATTTAGTCCATGGTAAAGTGAATCTGTGATAAAGTATGGTGGTTTATTGGTGCCAAGCTGCTAATGTTTTGGGCAAAAACTATGATATTGTATCTCTCACGTGCTCTATGAAATGACCTTCTCTTTGTTTAAAGACTACAGGATAAGATCCACTGGTTAATTATAGAAATCTGTTGTTTGTCGGAAATCTTAATTCATTTCGCTTAATTGTTAAAGGTGTGTACCGTATGACAGTTCACTTAGTTTTGTTCGTATGTCTGAACTTCAGCTTATCTTACTTCATTTCATCTTGTGTAGTGTTTCCTTTTTGGATGCAAGTTCATAGGGAGAACATAAAATGAAATAACTTTTTGTCTTAAAACTTATGTTTCATTTTTTTCTGTGGAAGAGTGTGTAATAATACATATATGTAGATGTCAAACTAGTGTACTAATACATATTTTTGTAAATTTAAACCTAAAAAGATTCAAGTGAAACTTAAAGGAGTCTTGAAGGAATGTTATGCTGAGGATTAATGTCTTTCCTATCATTACTTTGGCTGATGGCAAGAACTGATCTATGCTGATAACAAAATAAAGGATCCAAGTGACACCTGAAGGATTATTGTTAAAAGCTAGATACTTATCATGAAGCGTCTCAAATAGCCATGCGGCCCTTAACTTCTTGTGGCTTTGAGGTTTATTAGGCCCTAGTCAAAAATAGCTTTGGACTTGTCTTGAAGTTTTCCCGTGATATTCTGTCTGTCGCCTATCTAAATGAAGGTACAAAAACCTGTAGATGATTCCTCACCTAAATTACCAAAGTACTGCAGTGACTGAGATTACCCGCAAGATGTTCAGTCCCTGGTACTGCGCCTATTCACTCTTCCTAGGGTTGATTGTTCTGTGGGAAAATAAAACTGTTGTTTCGTTTGGTAACCTTTTATTTCGGTTTCTCCTTTTGGAAAGAGAAACAGAAATCTTATGGACTAGATGGTCGTTGATTCTAGGTGTTGGAGTTGTTGATACTTGATATATTTGTTAACCCCTTCCTTTGTTCTTACATTATGAATGCTAAGAAGGTCATGAGACCTTAGTTTTCTTGTACTGGATGACTTTTAGTTGGCACATGCGAAGCATGACCATTTTAAAAATATTATGTATGTTTTCTAACTTTTATTTAATTTTCACTCTTGTTCTAATCTCTTTCTTTGTTGTTAGGTAAGATGAACAAATATTCTGAATTGTTACTTATACAGCATCTTTTTGTACCATTGATGAGTTTCAATGTATGTGGCAGATAATAGCAGGGTCCACTTGAAGGTTCCACTGATTTTTCTTATGGATTGCACACTTAATGACTGCAGTCTGATGTTAAAAACGACTGTTCAGGTATGCCTCCCAGTAACTTTTGTTTTGTTTGGAAGTGCTTCGACCTCTCACTGCAATTTTATCCGAGTGTAGTTCAGTGTTAATTCAATAATTCGTAATTTCTGTAGTGAGCTTTTTTATGGGTGGTTAATAGTTTATGGTCTGATAACGGTTACATTGTTTCGTAAACTGAACCCCTGAAAAAAAAAAAGAGGTTATCGGAAACTTATCTTCTCAGCTAGTTAGGCAGGTGATGCTTACTGCGTTTAGACTATACTGGAACTCTTAAGCTGGTTATTATTTATCCATTCCATGTCCTTTAGAAGATATCTGTATCCTCTTCTTTCCCATTTATTGCCTTTCTTATCTTCCGTAACTCTCAATTTCTTAGGTTTAGTTGCCCAGATTTTCTATTTCCTGTATTACTGTTAACTAGTTCTGCATAATTTTTATCTTTATTTGAATGTTTACCATCATCTTGTGGGATACGGACTCAGATTTCATGTTGATAAGTGAGCCATTGGCCTGTTTCTTTTATCAATTTAGTACTCTACAACTACCAAAATGGTAAGATCTAATTTAAGTGAAACTCTGGGGCAGGACTTGTCAGTACCAAGTCAGAATTCAAAATATATTTTGCTTGTAGTGATTTTAAAATTCATCGATGAGTCCATCAAAATTGTGGGCAATTATTATTTCCAAGGTTCCCTTGTAGATTACCATATACCCTTCTTTGGGGACATTTTCCTTTCAGGGAATGACAGGGATCAGAATTGCTATTGAAGGCTTAATGTATTTGTTGATGGCAATGTTATACTTGATGTTGATAAGGTGTACCATCGTTTAGATAATGTGTTGATTCGTCATACTGAATTTCCATTTCAATGGCCTTAATTATTGTCACTTTCCATTTGACTGGTTTAAAATGTTCTTCACCTGTGATTTCTGCTTGAAATACTTGGTTTTGGTTATTTGCTTGATACACTTCGCAGGAATTTGATTATGTATGAATGTTATTTTACACAAGATCAAATTTGACTTTTTCAAGCCTACTCGTACTAATGCTTATCCTTGAATCACGAATGACAAATCGTCGAGTAATTTGAGATGTATTGTCCTATTGAATCTCAACCTTCCTCTATAAAATTTAGAAGCCATCTGAGTTGTACTATCCTGAATCTTGCAGAGGGAAGTATATCCTTCTGTGGTGCTATTTCCAGCTGGCCAGAAAAATGCCATCATTTACAAAGGAGATGTGGCAGTTTTTGATGTTATTAAGTTTTTGTCTGATGAAGGAACTCTGGTCAATGAGAAAGGTAAATTCATTAAATCTTGACAGTCATATTTGCGGTCAACATGTCGATGGAGCATGATGCTCTCAAGGCTAAAAATAACTAGAGACCTGATATTTTCAATTTTGTGGTGCTTGCAACAACTTAGCTTTAACATTGTATTTGATGTAGCTTTGGGGATCATATCTTGTCATTTGCTTCTAGCAAACATGTTTCCTTTTAGTTCAGAAGTTTCTTCTTCTTCTTGTTTTTTTTTTTTTTTTTCAATAGCTTAGGTTGTGTGGGGTGCTTCCTACACATGTCCAAAAATACCTTGATCGTGTCCCTTACTTCTAATATATATGGGGCTCCCCATTTTCTTTTTCCCGATACATTGCAGATGTGTGTGTCTTCTTCCTGTGCCTATGTTTGCTTTTTTTTCCCTCTTTATTTGACCATACTTATAAATGTCGCCCTGTACACTATTTCATGAAGCATCTGAGTTCCATGGTGGCTTTTCAGGATCTTTTTCTTTTGATTTTAGTGTGAAACAAAAGATGTCGAATGGGATGATAATCTTGTATATTATGAGACAAATGATGTTCTTTGGGATGATAATTAGTAAGGCATCTTCTTACATAATCTTCTAAGTGATGATTTTGTTTAAATATGAAGTTACTCAGTTTAAACGATTTTCATGGAAAAGATAGAAGCAGCCTGAAACTATTATTACCAGAATCAAAATATTCTGTGCACTGAGCTTATACAGTACTGCATTCCTACCAAGGTGTTCATATCTAAAGATTGCATTTCTGCGATGAAGTTGGTTTACCTAGTGAGCTTAGTTATTTTATGGTAACAAACTATGGGGTAGGATATTACCATTTGGCCTCAAAAATGGCCACTGTGTTTTCTATTTATTAGTAAAGGCAATGTAGGATGCTCCCTTTTGCTATCTGATTCAAGTTTTCCTAGTGGGGACCAAAAAGTTTTGCTTCTTTTTCTTGCAACTAACTCATAATATTACACTGCTGTTCTTATTTCGTGGTCTAGCTACATTAATTTCAATCTTAATATTTTCCTTTTTAAAGGGACTGAAAATTTTAGTTGCTTTTTTTGGTGGATATACGTCTGATTATGGAGGCAAAATTTGGGGACTTTGATATTAAAACTTATGAAATTGGGAAGGCACGCAGTTGTAAAAGTAGTTTTTTAGCATGTTTTTAACTTTCAAGAATGCATTAGATCCTTTCTCACAGGTTTAACTCAGTTGATCAATTAGTCAAATGGTAGATATACCTACAAGTTGCAGCATAAAATGGTGATCTTTAAGTTGTCTGCAAATATGAACTAAAACACTAATTTAACTTAGGATTTTGTAGTCCATCCATATTGAATAGCTCCGTTTATCTGTTGTTTTGGAATTGTGGCCAACTTATTGGACGGAAAGTTCATGTTGAATTTTAATGTAAATAGAACTAGGTTCTCTCCCGTGCATTGCACGGAATATATAAAAATGATTATTAGTTGTAAAAAAAATACAATGTATTCGATTAATGGTTGATTATAAAATAAAAATATAAAGAAAAAAGGATAATACAAAGAATAAGTGAACAATAAAAAATGAGGTAAAAAAAGACAATGTGAAAATTAAGTGGTATTAGTATTATTATAATTTAAATTTCTTTGAGCTTAAATATATGAAAAATGTTTCTCTTGAATTTTTTCATAGTTTTATCCGTTAGATTTTAACATGTTTTTAATAAAATGAATATTACAATGATTTATTTTTAATATAAGAAAAATGCCTTACTTGGATTTTCGCGTCATTTTACTTGCAAAATTTCAGTTTTTTTTTTTTTTTTAAAAATGATTGGCATTAGAGTGATTCAATTTGAATATAAAAAATATATTTTATTTGTTTTTTTCATAAGTTTACCCATTAAATTTCAATAATTTTTTTTTATCATATACGGCGTCGATTTTTTTTTTTCTGAAAATAAAATATTTATTTGAACACACATAATTAACATTTCTCAATCTGAAAATAGAATGAGCCGATTTTTACGGAGAAATGATTTCTTTCAGTAAACCAACTTCATTGTTGATTAATAGATCATTTAGAATTAATGCATATTAATTGTATGATTCTGATTGTTTTATATTTTTGATTTGGTCAAAGATTTCATTAATTTCCGGACAATCAATAAGAAAGTCAATCATATTTTTTTCTTATAAAGAGATGGAAAGTTTCAGTATAATTAGGTGGGAGGAAAATTAGTTTTTTGTTTTTTTTTTTTTAACAAAACGACGTCGTTTTGGTTGGGGGGGAAATGGATGAATGAGAGCGCGACACATAAGCCCTTTTTTTTCTCTCTTGGACTATTATTTTAATAGGATATATAGATTAGTCGAAGATAATTTAGTGTTCAATTTTGAGTAAGCTTTTGTGATCTTCCTTTTACTTGAGAAGCCGAACATTGTGTTACTGATTTCCGTGACCTACATTCTTTTTTCCTTGTTCATTTATGCACTTACAACTCTGCACTAAAAGTCATAAAGTTGGAAAATCTAGCCAATTAAAGGAAGTGAAAACATGAATTTCAAAAGGAGGTTACTTAATGTTTTAAAGTACATTCTTTTGCTTTTGTCAACACAGCATTCACTTGCTGTTTTGTTCTCTTGATATGGTATAGTAGCTCATTGACCTGGAAACTAGGTTTATAGTAAATACTGGTTGGTCTCAATCAGGAACACACACTCCTACGCCTACCTCTTTTGTTGCATCATCACCGTCTCCTTACAATTGAGATTTGAGAACTCTAATTAGTGGAGACAATTGCCCGGCACCAATTGACCCTTAGTCAGGCAAAAGGTAAAAACTCTACACATCCGGATTCTTTTGTCGTTGGTGCTTTTTGAAGTGAGTCTTCTTCTTCTATTTGTTAAAATTCCCCAATAAATGGATGAATGGGCCCTTTCCTAGTCCAGTTGTAGATTCGTGCTTCACTTGCAAACAGATCATAATAAATTGTTCACACCCCTGCTATGCTTTTTCTCCACATACAGGAAAATCTGGGATTCATCTTAGATTTAGAGTTTGTAGGTTTGCCTAATTGATTTCACTTGAGAGAATGATTAAGATTTTGTGCTCTGGAAGTGTAGGTCTTGCTATATATACACCATCTTTTTTCTGCTCACTTTTGACGATCTTGAGGCTGCTAGTCTGTTGATATGAAAAATAAGATCACAATATTTCTAACTTATGGTAAGTCTTCAGTGATAAGGCTCCTGGAGTTACACTGTTTTATTAGATGAAAAGGATCCTGGATATTAAGATAAACAAAAAGTTTTTGTATTGTGAGAAGTATAGGGACTCTTACAAAGTTTGAAAGCTTAGATCATGGGAGCTAGAATGGATGACATATTATAAGGTTGAACTGTTTATTGGACTGCTTTGCATGTTAGGTAAAGTACAAGCTAACAACATTCATCTGGAAGTTCCATAGCTTAATTATAACACTTTTTTGACTTTGTGGAATTTTGTATCTTCATTCAAATGATCACCTTTATTTTTTATGATTAAAGGTGTTCCGTGGCTTGGAGTTGAACAAGGTGGAGATGTTTCTGGAACCGATCCTATTTATCCGCCAACATACCATGAAGTTCTACTGAAGGATCAGACCTCTGAAATGGTAGTTACTCAACATAGAAGGGGTCATTCTTTGAGTGGCTTACATGAATCAACTCCTCAAGTACTTACCGGTTCAATTCTGACTGCAACTGACAAGCTAATGAATGCACATCCATTTGACGAATCTAGAATTCTTATCGTAAAAGTCGACGAAGCTATGGGATTTGAAGGTTTGATCTTGAACAAGCACATCCATTGGGAGTCTCTTGAAGAACTTGATGAAAACATGAAAATGCTAAAGGACGCACCCCTTTCTTACGGTGGTCCAGTTATGAAACATGGAATGCCTCTTGTTGCGTTAGCTCAAGCGTCCAAAATCAATCAGCACGTGCAAGAAATACTACCAGATGTCTACTTTTTTGATCAACCGGCCACTCTTCAATTAATAGAAAAACTCAAGTTAGGTAATGAATCTGTTCATGGCTACTGGTTCTTTTTGGGGTTTTCAAATTGGGGCAGGGAGCAGTTGTTTCAGGAGATCGCTGAGGGCGCTTGGGATGTAAGCATAGGCGCCGTTGAGCATTTAGATTGGCCTGAAGTTTCCTGAAACCTATAATAGATCTTTGAACATGGTACAAGAGGTTGACTGTGGATGAAGTTTACATCTACTCAAACCACATTTACATGACGCCTATTGTCTCCTCGGAAATGTACAAAAAATGTAACATTTGTTCTGTGGATTTGTTTAGTTTGGATGTAAATTGGGAATAGCTGTCACTAATTTGGGAGGGATCATGATCTCTACCCTATTTTCGTTGGCTGTTGTGCTTTTGTCCAAAAAATTTTGCATCTCTCAAATTGTGCCCAAGTCAACCACTGTTGACTGGTACTGTGGCTCGGCCACCGGGATTTTGGGCCGCCGGTGGTCTTATGGTGCCGTCGCAGTGGCTAGTGGTGGAAAAAATTTATAAAATAGGGTTTAAGATAATAGTTCAAACATATCCTAAATCCCGTAATTTAAACGTGTGGTTTATGTTTACACACTGATCATTTCCATTACAAAAATTCATTATTGTTTAAAAACTCATTTTTGTCCCTTTTTATTTATCAATAGTATGGAAATTGAATAACAACACAATAATTAATATGTTCTGTATATGGAAGTAGATGGGGGTTTTTTCATTATGTGGAGGGTTTATTTTTCCCCCAAAAAAATAAGAAAAAATAAAAATTGTCAATAATCTACCATAACATTGTACATTTATAAGTTTATTATTATATTTGAGGGAATGTCATATTACAAGTTTGACAACGAAATTGTAATCATTGTTTAAACATCGTTAGTATTTCTAAAAGAAAAATTTATTTGTTCGGTTCTAACATAATTGTTTAATAATTTGAATTTTCATTTTTCAATATAATTTTATATTAGAAAATAAATACTCAAACATGACAATCATTTTGGGACGGAGAGTGTTGATTTGTATCTGTTAACTACCATATTATACATATAGCTAATTAGGGATGGGCATGATTGACTATTAGTAGTTAAGTGTTAAATATTTGATATGAAACGTATGTTTTAAAGGTGGTAAAATTGAAGTAGTTTAATTGGTCAAAAGTTACGTCGGAAACTTTCAAATTAGAGTGGCGCCATCAGTTGGTTGACTAGGCTTTCTCGAGGTATATATTGTTTCTCATTTATCAGCCATCTAGAAACAAAATCCCCATATATTAAACATCTCATCGATAGACACATACTTTGGGGCCAAATACTTTCCATTGAAACGATTTGAAAACTGAAAATGTGACCTTTCTGTTTTTTTTTTTTGTTTTTTTTTTTTTTGGAAAAGAAAATTTCATTAGATTTGCTAGAAATATTTCTTCGTGAATAAGTATTAGGCCAATTAATCTTGTAATTAGTACATGATGAGTTGAAATTTTTATAACATTTTAGTTACCGATAGAACTTGGCCCGAAAACAAAATGATAAATGTATTCACTCAAAAAACATATTTAACCAGTGTTATGTATAACATAAAAATGTCAGTCCAATATTTTCTCTGCTCATAACAAATAACACTTTGAGACCCTGAAACATTAATATTTCTATCCCGCAAAAACAATTCACACTATGTACTTGAATTATACTAACAACAACATAATTAATAAACTGTAGCATGGAGTTGTTTTTTTTTTCTCTCACTGCTCTTCGTTTGAAACTAATTATTGTTTAATATTAACGTGATTTATGAAAACGATTAAATTAGTGGTGATTTAATTTTATTTACTAGTTTTGTGACGAGATATTCCAGTTCAATACTAAGAAAGGAAGAATTGTATGTAATTTTAGTGGAAATACTGTGTATGAAAAGACTTCAAATAATAACAATATAATTGCATGCAATTAATTACTACTATAAAATTGAGGCACACATTATGGGGCAAACCACTTTTTCAAATTTGAAAAATAGTCTAGTTAAGATGTCTAAAGTAAACAAGAAAAGAGAAGATGTCTAAAATAAATATATTATTAATGCAGAAAATAACACAAATGGATTATGTCACGCTATATATATTGGAATTGTAACTAGCGTCTAGCGATGGTGGCGATTTCCTAGAGAAATGAAGGAAGTTATACCTCACTGTACAAAAATAAATTTAACTATAAAATACATTAAAGAGAGGAATAATTGATGAGATGTGTATTATTCTTCAGCAGTGTGCTAGTTCAAGACTTGAACTACACCAAATATCAACATGATTATTCCCATCCATTGAAATTTTGCAGGCATGATTGAAGTACCTGAAGAAAAAGAAAAGGGTTCCGAGCATTGTCAGTAAGCTGATACATATGGAGACGCCTGTAGAAAAGAGAAGGTATTTGATAGCTACATGGACCTCTACATGAGAACGAAAATCTAATCTTTTTGAAGGTTTCAAAGAGGCAAATGTGAAACATGTCTGCATGTTTCATTTTTGACAATCCAGTTTGTTAAATTATTTTTAATTCAAGAATTAGACTATTAAAGACTATTTCAATGAAATGATTGAGGACCATTCTTACCGGGGCTTCCATCATTGTTATTCGGGGATGACACTGAATTTGAAACCTTAATTCCAAGCCTTGAACAGTCAGAACCCAGGGCACCTAATCACAAAAACAAATAAACGTTCAATGCCACAAGCATATTAAGATCAGTTTCGTGAAACTAAAAAGTAATCAAAAGAGGAGAAAGAATCCAAGAGATGGCAACATATGAATCATCAAATCTAGTCAAAATGGTCGCAAAATTTTGAGGTTTCAACTCAAATCCGAGTGGAATAGTACTAGTTCGAAAATCTGATATACCATTCAATATGTAGATTTGGATTTCTGATTTTTTTTTTTTTTTTTGGAAGAAGGTTCTCACGGTTTCTGATTTTGAATAGTAATAAAATAACATAATTATATTTAGTATTTACTTCATTTGTTGCAAAACAAAAAAGTCCATTTTGTTACTAAAATAATACAAGAAATGGACCATCTTTAGGAACGGATCAAATATAAATTAAGATGTATAGGGTGATCTTACGTACATTCGCTGTAACAAGGGAAAACTGAGATGTCGAGCAGATTAGAGCGACCATTATTGCATTGACATGTATGACCATAGGTTGAGTTCTTCACACATGTTCCTTCTCCACAGTACATCCAATAGCATGCTAAAACACAATAGTAACAAGAGTCAGTTATTGCAAACGAATTATTAAGATTATAAAATTTCAAGCAAATCCCCGTATTCAATTTAGAGTAACGATCATAAGTCTAGACGTTTGCCTCCTGTTTATGCACCAAAAAAAAAAAAAAAAAATCTATGATCGTAAGATATAGAAATTGATAGATCGTAAGATTACTTGGTAAAAATCTATTCTAAAATAAGTATTCTACTTATTACGTTATTATAATCTAACAAATGCGGCTGGCATTTGAAGAGGTATTATCTAATAAATTTATTGAACGGCTTTACCTCATAAAACTAACTTTTTCCCCATGCCTGTTGTATAATGAATGTGTAGGGAACCGTAATAGTACTTCCTCTATTAAATTTATTTTATTGTATATTCTTAATCTAACAAAGTGAATTATTAAAATAAGACCAAAAGATTTTACACTTACGGTCAAACACGGAGAAATTGTTAGGAAATGGTGGAACTGGAGGAGGAGCCGGCATGCATGAGTAATCCAGAGAGCCTACAAAAAGAGAATTGAAATATGGTCATTTATTGTGTGTACACTCGTTTTTATTATCTAGGGTTCAACAAAATAAATAATAATCATAATAATAATAAAAAAGGCTGCAGCAAACGGGTATTTTTCAGCCCCCTCCACAATTTGCTTTTAATTTTGCAGCTTTTTCAACTTCCGCGTAGAAAATTTGGAAACTAGACATTAAAAAATTACAAAAACTTTCTATTTCAAAGCTTTAATGGTAAAAGATAAACTCATAGAAGTTGTTGGGGGATCTCATGTGTATAGAAAATGTTTTACTTAATTTGGATTTGGGTTTAGTTTTGTTTTTTTGGCAATACTTAAAAATTATTGTGAAAAATTATTCACAAAGGACGTATCTTTGTTTCTTTACCGAATTGGTGCAAAAAAAAAAAAAAAGATTTCTACCCATATTCATCTGAAACTCATGTATAAATATGTGATAATAATCATGTATCTTAACCTTCTAATAATACGAACTGCATCCCGGTTCAAATTCGTATAAGTAATAATACATATATATATCTCTATGCCAAAATCATAGCCAAATCTCACTTAATTATAATGGATTTTTAAAACCATGCCCATGATATGATTGAAAATAACAAGATTTAATTTTCTATGCCATTGAGTGAGCTTCATTAACAGGAGATCAAGTAGAAGAAAAAGCATTAATAGAGATAACGAGAAAGCATGCAGATAATCTTCTGATAATAACTCAAAGGGAGAAAGAAAAAGTGGCGATTTAATTACTTACAATTAGGAATTACACAAGGAAGGAACTGTAGATCATCTTCATTGTCCAAACGAGTACGCTTCCAGTTTGGTTCACAAATGCATTTGAAGTTAAAGGGACTTCCCACTGCCGGTTGGCAAGTTCCTTTCCCACATTCTACTTCGTTGCATATGTTATCTGCAATTTAATATCGTGAAATTATAACCAAAAAAATAAAGAAAAATAAACAATGTACGAAACATGCTTTGATTCAAGATTCACAAACAAAACAAAATTAAAAGGAATTTACCAACAAGCGGAGATAAAAAATCCCCCTTTGTAAACACTGGCGCTAACAACACAAGAAGAATTGTTCCAAGAAAAAGCTTTGAACTTGACATCTTTAGTTTAAGGAAAATGGAAAGGGCTTGCAAAAATGGTACGAGGAATGACGAAAGGTGAATTTTGGTATTGAGGTATATATATATCTCAATTTAGGTTGAACTCTTCCGCTAACTATCAGAAGCTTCTACTATATAATAAGACTAATTTTTCTCTTAGAAATTTCACAATATATATTTAATTATACGAACGATTCGTTATCATCAACTAAATTAATATGTGTATAATTATTTGTCTACGTTTGAATTCCTGGTTCACGACTGCTTTGAAATTTTGATGCGTTTAGATTTGGGATTGGGTTTGTTAAACATTATCGTGTGACATGTTGACAAATTTAATATTTCTAGAATGGGTTCTTTTTGACACATTCCAATTGCAGGAACCTGTGTGTTGATTTTTAATTGGGTCAATTAATCACGTTCTTCTTGAAAATTTCAGGTTAATTTCTTTCCTGAGGACCATTTCTTCATCGGATTTTCTAAAGGTTTCGCCTCTAATTCTTCATTTTCCATACAAAAGAGAGTTAAAACTAATTAACCTCCTTACCTGGCTTCTAAGTCCGACATAAGTGAAACACCATTTCTAAAATTCTTATATTCGGATGATTTTCTTTTAAAAGGAACTTACTTGACATAAATTTAAAATAATCAGGAGATCACTAACATGTTTAATAGGGTGGCAATATTGGAAATGCGAATAAACAATCAAAATATTTTTCAGGTATATAGATGAGAATGCTAAAAATTGGAATACGGCTAACCGAATATCCCGACACCATGCTAATTATATTACTTTTTTTTAAAAAAATAATCATATTCCTTTCTTAATGAAATTTCATAACATTATTTCTTCTTTATTCCCCCCCTTTCACTAATTTATTTACTTTTTCATTCCTCCTTTTCTTCTTAATTTTCTGTTAAAAATACTTGTCTGTTTTTAATCTTGCAGGGGACAAGATTTTTTTGGGGGAATGTAAATATTTTATAGATCAATCAATTCAGATTTGCACCCACAAATTAAAGTCAGTAATCTAGTTCTACACCATCAAAATTCAGGGAAACATTTACTACTTTCATTATTTTTTAATCTCTCGTTGAGGCATCCTTTTAGTCTCCATTGCACTTCCTTCTTGATGATTTCCAAGATTTGTTGCTAGTTCTTTTCTTGCCTTCAAATCTTCCTTTTTTCAACACAGTTCGCTGCCATTGATCCCATTCTTGCGCTAACCCCTTAACGCCGAACCAACTTTTCACCTTCTGAAGCAAATCATTCGAAAAATAACACCTAAAGAATAAATGTTGAGGGCTCACAACAATCAGGGGACACGAGATTTTTGATATTTTACTTTTTCAATATACTCACCACAATCAGTCGCGCAATCAATTAGATAAATTAAGTACTACTAAGGTCGACCATTTTAACTAAAATATAGAAGACAAAAGATTAGGAGTTACAATTTCTTGGCTTGAATTTGTTTTTCGGTTAGTAGAGTGGATAATATAATAGCTCTTCTGAAAGCTCCATTTTTGTAATAAACCAATCGAATAGTAAAGTTAAATATTGATAACCCAAAAGCTAGAGTTTTAAAATCCATCATATATTTTTAACCCCTTTTGAAAGTTCTATTTTTGTATACATTCTTGTGGAACAATTATAATGTAAACTGCATATCTAATATTTCTTTGAATATCCCAAAAATTATGACGTGCTTAAAAAACTGGCGCCTAATTAACATGAATTAGATGTCAATACAGTGGAAAAATATGTAACACCAGAATGTGTATTAGCCCTGGCTAATTTGTGCCGCTCCAGTTGTTGGAGGTGGAAAATAATAATAATAATAATAATAATAATAATAATAATAATAATAATAATAATAATAATAATAATACACAAATTAAATAAAAATAATAAAATGGAGGAAAAAATATATTAGACACAAAGATTAAGTTGAATGATTATTTAGGGAACTTTATAAACGGATTAAGTAATAAGCCAATTGACCAAGACGAAAGATTACCTCTTTTTCATTTGTGTTTAAGAAACTTAGAGTAGCAGACGTAACTTGGAAGTGAAGTTTCGACGTATATCTTATTAACCATTCAACTAAAATCATTAAGCAGTATGTAGCAAGTGTTCACTTTAGCACATTGAATAAACAAATAAAACAAAGTTCTTACTCGTGCATGCTGGTTAAAATTGCACCATTCACTTTAGGAGAACTTTAAAGCTTAGACTAGAACAACTTATAATTCTTTCCATAATAAAATCTTGCCTACCTAGGATAACTATCTAGTAGGAGGTGGTTTTGAAGACACTAGACTTCTTATATCTCTAAGCTAATGTGGGAGTAAGGCTAGATTAAACTCTTTTTTTTTTTTAAAAAAAGGTTACGTTTATATTAAGAAAAGATACTTATACTATTAATTATAACGTATTTTATTATATGCTAGATTATGCAATTGTACAACATTTTGTTTACTGACTTTAGTCAGTATACATGACTGAAAAGAAGAAATAGTACTATTTAACAAAGAAACCACCTCTTGGGCCTCCGAAGATATATCAGGAGATCGCAAATAAAACATATGGAATAACTTTGTTGATGGACTGACTCAAGGAAAGTTGCTAGGAGTGGGTTTATAACCTCTCCCCAGAAGTATTTACAAAACGTAGCAGACTTTGGTTTTCAAAGGAAGAGAGTTCGACAACTAAGCCTGTAATCATCCAACCTTTCGAAGATTCATTCATGGTTTCTTATCAAAGAAAAGATTGTTAATCTTGAGCTTGTGACTTAGATGATCTCTTTTGTTGGTATCTTAGGTGAGTATGTATTACAAAAATGAGTGCGAAGACGGGGTTGAGTTCTTGTTTAATGTGCGGTCTTGAGACAGAACCGAAGTTACCTTTAATTAGGTACTTTGTTATTTAAAGATTTTAGTAAGGGTAGAAGAACTATACGGCGTTGGGAGGTGCTGATTGGTTTCTCATTAGTAATAAAAAGGGGATTGTGTTTGGTGAATGAGCTAGGGTGGTAAGGCATCAAATAAAATAAAATAAAATAAAAATTAGAAAGAAAAAATAAGAGAGGGGTTTGAGATATGGGTAATTTAGCTTTATATAGCCTAATGAATTTGAGTTTCCTTAAGCCTCACTGATGGATAATACAAAAATCCAGTGTTATAGCCAATTCAAGTGAGCTAAGATTTGATATCAAATTGTCATATAAATGACCTTAATTTAATTAGGGAACAAAATCTGCTTTAACATTACATATATTTACGTGGATTTGTATTTAGTTCCAGTAGTTTAAGGTGAAGGGTGTTTATGTTAGGAACAAACCACTTTAGATACCTGACACATTATAATTATTATATAATAAGACCCAAAAGTTAGTTAAGTGTATACCCTTTTCTACTAGTGTATATATATATATTCGTACAAAAGGTGGAGGCAAAAACCCTAAAAATTAAAAATTAAACAATCCGTGGATAAGAAACTCCAATGAAATTGTACTCCAACCACTGTAGAACGCCTGCCAGTGAAATTGTGAAGTAATGCGACATAAATGCTTATAGGTTATAAATTATTAGGCATGACTTATAGGGGTAAGGCATTAGAAGCATAGAATATGTACGACCATAAATATATTATTAAATTTTATTTGCAAAGCAAGCGCATGAGGACATAGAGCATACTAACGGTAACTGTGAGTAACTCTTACTCTTTTCTAAACTATTTCAAAATTGGGAGCATGGGATTATGTACTTGTAACTTATTTTATGATCAAATGTAAATCGTTGAATGATACGGTTGTGTACTTATTCCAGGATAAGTGTTATAAGTGTTACCTTATTTGAATGTGTTTGGTTATGTGTTTGATATTATTGTCTGGTTATACGATTGATTGTAAATGTTGAACATATTTTGCCTAAAGTGAAGTGTTTGAACATTAAGTGAAATGTTTATATGTTCTAATGGTGGCATCACTCCACTAGAGTTTTCAACCTAATCGTTAAATGTATTATTTTTGGTAGTGTACTAATCGCCTCGGCAGAGTTTTTATTTGTGCATGAAATCTTAGTTGGGCCATGTCTTGGCTGGCGAAGCCGGGAGAGTCAAGCATTAGGCCTGGTCACTTAGTTTGCTCCCTTGACTAGAGTTATAAGACTCATAAGTTATCAATAGTTGGTACCAAGGGAGACATAAGGAAAGTGCTTCAGAGGCACATAGTTAAATGTTTCAAACTACACGGCCCAGAGTTGAAAACTGGCAAGGGATCAGTGCCCAATATGTGAACATCTATTTTGATTGTTAAATATTAATTTCTATTCGTAATATAGTTTTACTACATAATAATGTTTTCGTTTTCTATATTGATTTATTAAAACTATTGTAGAAGTATTGTGAAAACATTACTGAGCTCGGCGTTCACCTATTTTATATTTTATTCCTCTATCCTACTACCAGGTTTAGGATTAATGTAGAAGAGCTAACGAAACTAGATCTGTTAAAGAAGACCGTCTAAACAGACATTGTCGTGGATACGTTGTAATATGAAATAAGTTTTAGTAAGAATGATAAGTTAATTTTTTTCGTATTAGCATTTGGAGGATATGTTATGAAATAGAATTTGCTGAGTTCTTTTTTAATTCAAACTTAATAATAAACAAAAGTGGCGCGTCTTGGGCAAGAGCCTGATAGACGACTCAACTCATAGTTAAGCATGGCATGTGGGAGCAGGTAGATGAGTTGGGTCCTCAAAATTTGAATGTAGATATCTATGGTTTTTGACCAAAAAATCAATGTTTGGGAGAATATCTATATGATTGATGCCTTTTAGCATAATCTATATGATTGATGCCTTTTATTTCAACACACCATCATTGGATATCCCAGGTATTTACTCCTCTTGAGTAATTATTTTAATTAATTAAAATTTTTAATGCAGGATTCTGCTCGGCTATTTTACTTTTGCTCGTATAGGCACTTAATGTTTAATTTTTAACTAATAAAATATTTATTTTGGTATTGAGACGTGCATTTATCAAAAATATCAAATCAAATTCTCATGATAAGAGAATATGAAAATATACACGTAACAAAATTAACTAATTAACTTTTGTAAACTCTAAGTTACAAGTTAACAATAAGCATACATGTGGTCGTTTATACATGTGCTTCGGTGTATACAAAAAATATCAAACGGTTTACAACGTAGGTGAATAATCTCACATATATTACCATGTATGTGCTTTATATTGGGCCAAAGATTCAATCCAAATTTTTCTGCTTATAATATTAATTACTTCACACAAACACAGATTTTTCTGAGAATTTTATTAGTTAGAAACTTTTGTTTCGCTAAATTTAAAACACATGAAATTTCTAATATGTTTCATTTCGAAGCCATGATAACTCAACTAATTATACCAAATGTGTAAAATTATTGTAATCAATAAAGTTCTGGTTTACTACAAATCTATATTATAGTAAAACATCTGTAACCTTTTAACAAATGAAATAAGAAGGTAAATTATTTTAATGCAATTCTTTTTTTTTTCCCGGATATTGTATTAATTCTCAATATGTAAGTATATAATACAACTTCTGACATTTGAAAATCTTTTCTCGAATTTTGAAATTTGTGCAAAATTATATTTACCTTAACATATTTTATTTAATCTTCCAGAATAAAATTTAAAATTTCTTCGGAGACAACATTAAATTAATTATTCAATGATGTCAGATCATCTTTCCCTTACATGAAGCATTCACTCTAACAAAAACTTGTCTACTCAACAGGAGCTTATTTACAAAAACAACTTAAAAGTTGTTAGAAAGTTACAGTAAAGGTGGGGTTTTTACTTACAAAGACATAATATATAGACATCAACTAACAATATCTAAAAATTCTTATATTTGTGGGTCGTCTTCTTTATTTAAGTTGTGTTGCCACTTCAGCCACCGGCCAAACGGGCGACGGGCATGCCTGAAAAATTCTATCCAAGTACTAAATATTAGCCATTGCTAAAATTTTCTTCATCAAGGGCAGTCCCTTTTTGGGATCATTTTCTTCAAAATTAGGGACTGAAGTAAGCTGCAGAAACAACCAACATCTCTGGCAATAAGTACCCCTATGGGTATCCCCGAAGTTTCGGGATGTTAGCCGATCCCCAGATACTATGGTGGTTCTACCTGTAGTGGAAGAAAATTTGAAAGAAAGGTGATTTCCTAGTGTAAAAGGAATAAAATTAGTTTAAACTAGGTTTTGGAAATCAGATATATGCTTGGTGGCCGCATGGGTAAGTTGAAAATTGCATCATAGGTAAACATGAAGAGGTATTTGTCATTCAAATTTCTACCGCAAAACTGCCTATGCCTAATGCATTGCAGACAATAGAGTTTGAAGGAATTTTAGCAATTACTGAGTTTCATAGTGTTGCCAAAATCCTTAAGTTGTCGATGATCACTGACTTTGGAAAGATAAATGCCTTTTGTTTAGAATAAACCAACACTTGGTTTTGAACAATAGGGCACGCTACCCTGAGACAACATTCCCATGTGAAATATGTCTGTTTGAATGATGTATCTGCATTCATCCACCAACGATATTTATCATCGATGAGGTAACTATTGTTAACGTGAATGAGGACATCATTTTAACTGAAGAACTATAGTGTGGTACAATTAAATATCGACTATTTTTTATTTGTTGAAGAGTTTTTTTTTCCCCTTGTGATCTCTAAGAAGACAACCATATCAATTGAAAAAAACCGCGGTGTACGATGTTTACCCTAATAAGAAGGAGGAGACTGTTCATCATGCTATCCATAGTTCCCTACGTAGAAGATTTAATATTAATGAAGAAAAAGAGTGAATCCATTTATTTGGAAGTAATTTGTTTGTGGCTGCAGCAAGCATGGAGGATTTAATCACCTTTACTAGCTTTTTGTCCATTACTTGAGGTAAAGTGTGTCTCACCATTCCCTTTGCTACTCTTTTTGATTTTTACGCTGGTAACCGGCTCTCAAAATTTCATGGCTTTCCAGAAAAAGGAACTGAAGTAAGATTTAGAGATGTTGAAAAACAAGCTAGATCTGACCGAGCAAAGGTTTAAAGAGCAAAAGGAAATGAATCAGCAACTCTTGTACGAGGTTTAAATGAGAAAGATTTGGTTTGGGAGTCAAAATTATGACAACTACAACAAGAGGCCTTTGATCGTGAGTTCTTTTGGAGGAGTTTGCTGCATGGATTAAGGAGGATTAAGGGATTTATCTCCATGGAGAATTGATGGAGGCGTAGGATTTACAAATCACTTAGACCGGTTAGATAAAGGTTTATAGGGTTATTTTAGTCATTTCAAGTATTTTGTTATTAGGGTTTAATTTCTGTCTTTTACTATTAAAGGCCTTTGGCCGCTTCTTTATACGGTAGTTGATATTTTGATAAATTGAAAAAGAGAGATTCTCTCACAATTCTAATGTGTATTGAACTTTGGTCCTTAAGATCCAGGTATTGTAAGACTAAATGGATTCTTGAGACAATTCTAATCCCGGGCATTCTTACACTAAATGGTGTTAGAAGGATTACGTGGTTTCGTGTTAGGGTTCATCTGTTTGAATCCTAATCTGGAAGCTTCCGCTACTGCATCAGTTGGTACTTAGAGCTGAACGATCCTTCGGATTTATACGTGTTGATTTATCAGCCTTTCTGGATTTGATTTTTGTTTCGGGCATACGAATTTTGGTTTTTTGTTTTCTTCGGGTGTACATAGTGATTGGGATTATCATTTTTATTTTGAGAAATTGATTGGCATTTTTTATCCTCGATGCACTAAAGTGGATTAATATTTTGATTTGTTGTATTTGAGCGACTGAAATTTGGACTTGTTTGATCTACTCCTTTTGGTGCTTTGTTATTTGTGTCAATCAATCAAATAAAGAAAGAGGTGGGTTACTAGTTTTGTGTTCGGCCAGGGGGTACATTCATGAGTCTCGCCTTGGTTAGATTTTTAGTTCCCATTATTGTTTTGGTCTCAAAATAGTTTTTTTTCTAATGAATTAGATTATGATCCATGGGTAAATATGCATCTCGATTGAAGTATTCCGCCAGTGTTTGATGTTTATTTCGATTATGATGAGTGGGGCAATCTCGCTGTTGTTAAAGTTGCTATTGAAGATGTTTTCTCCGCCTACAAATTATTGCGTCGGCCCATACTTGATGCCTATTTGGTTGAATGGACGGAGGATTCCATTGATAAGATTGGATATGTTAAAGACAAGGAGCAGACTGAATATTTAAGTGTTGCAATGGATGGGAAATCCTTTGGAGCAGCAAGATACGTGGGCTTTGGCTTTGGACAAAAGTTTGAAGGAAAACGAAACCTATGTACTGATGTTGATGTGGACAAAATAGAGGGCCAGATTCTTCAGGCAGATTGCGGGAATGATTTCTCTTTTCTACATGATGCTACACCTCCCGTGTTGGTTCAAATGGCCTTTGATATTGATTCTTTCAAGTATAACCAGACTCCTTATCTCAACATGCTTAGTTTAAGCTGTTCAACTTCTGGTTTTGCTGCAACTGATCTGCTGCCAAAACCCGTGCATGACTCTGAACTAAATGACTTCCTCCGCTACACATGGGATGACTTGGAGTCTTTTCTTTTTGATTTTGGTCATTCTGTATGGTTGTTATTGAAATTGCCAAAGATGTGTTATGCGATGGTTTCTTTTTGTGATTGGTACATGATTCAAGGCAGGCATTTTTGGAATGCATTTGATGGAGATCCTTTTGATTGGGAAACGTTTCCACTTAAATTTGAAGCAGAGCTTTTTCTACGATGGGGAGTGGTTAGTCACTTTGTTGTTGCTGCTGCTAGCTACTTACTTTCGGCTCTTGATGTTCATCAAGGAGAACCACCTTATAATCATGTTTCTTTGTTTTCAAGGAGAGCCTTGGCTGCTTATTTTTACATCATCAGGGCCTGCACTTCCACTTCCTAAAGCATGTTTGGTTCCACTTAAATGTTCATTTCCAAGTTCTTGGCACCCGCATCCTTGCTTCAAGAATGTTTTCGATTGGCACCTACAAACGGCTAGTTTGGAACATTTTCATGACTTCCATTCACATTGAGTCATTGATAATTATTTTTGGAATGCCTTTTGATTCTAGCAAACCTACCCCAAAATTCGAGGACGAATTTTCTCCAACCCAGGGAGAATGATGGAGGCATAGGATTGATAAATCACTTCTACCAATTAGATAAGGGTTTATAGGGTTATTTTAGTCATTTTAAGTATTTTTTTATTAGGATTTAATTTCTGTCTTTTACTATTAAAGGCCTTTGGCCGCTTCTTTGTACGGTAGTTGATATTTTGATAAATTGAAAAAGAGAGATTCTCTCACAATTCCAAGGTGTATTGAACTTTGGTCCTTAAGATCCAGGTATTACAAGACTAAATGGATTCTTGAGAAGATTCTAATACCGGGTATTGTTAGACTAAATGGTGTTAGAAGGGTTACGTGGTTTCGTGTTAGGGTTCATCGGTTTGAATCCTAATGTAGAGGCTTCTGCTACTGCATCAAGAATCTTATGTAATAAATTAGTTCCTTTGAAGTTGATGGATATTGATGTTGATGGATATTTGTTTTTATGTTATGTTGATGGATATTTGTTGAATGTTAATTACTTTAGTGAGAAATTTTGCTACAGTAGTCACAAAGGAGAGAGGAGAAAAATTAGAAAGAGATAAATGCACGGCCTATGTTGAAGAGTTTCTCCAGGTGATTAACGAAACCACTTGTTTCTCTGATTTTTTTATTGGTTTAAGCGTTAGTTTTTTATCTTAAAAAAAAGATAAAGTGTGTCTTTTGACATTTGATGACATCTCTATTATGTAGCAAGGAGGAAGATTTGTTTTTGAGGAAAGACCACTTGATGGTGCACATATTTTGCCAAGTTTGATATAAGCAATATGTGAATTAATGATTTGTGAACAAACATTATTTATATTTGGAGACTGGTATGCAAGATATTTTAGAATGACTTAGCGACATTTCCTTTTCATCGTAGAAATACTTCATCTAAACTCGAGAATGAGTCATTGCTCAACCAAGGAAAATAGTGACTGGTAAATTAGGGTATCTAAAACTTCTATTTCCTGTTGTTTTAATTATTAAGTAGGGGCGTTACTTTTACTCAAGTGTAACTAAGTCATTTTTTTTTATTGTTTGTTTAAAAGTCGTTGGCGCCCATTATTGTTTTTAATTTTTGAGATCAAATCTCTTCTCAAAACTTATGAGTTTTGATGCCTTCATTCTGATTGATAGATGTCTTAATTTGTGGCTATCTGTGTACTGAATCAATGTATTTAGGAAAATTTTTTATCTAGCATGCGCGCGTGTCTCAAACACATCTCAATGGTTCATGCTAGTTCTTTGTTTTGTTTTTAATCTTTCCAAAACTGATGCATCCGCTACATCATGAGAACCATATTGCATCGCCATCTTAGTTCTTGAGAAACTGTCGTTGTATCATTTTTGTTAAATTTGTTAGATTTTCATGAATTTCAGTATTATCATGAGTGTTTTTATTCATTTATGTGTCAATAGTGTATTAAAAGAGAAAGCAACAAAATTTTTACGGAGAGTTCTACATTATAAAATTACAGTTTTTTTTTTACCCAGAGTCATTACAAGTTTTTCATCAAACTAACTATTGTGGGCTGATAGACTAAAAGTGGCATTTTAATTTGCAATGGGTTAATGTAGAATGTTTTTATTTGATATTATTACAATACAAATTTCTAGACAAGATTATTGTATGAAATCAAGAATTAAAACCTTAAGAAATTTTTCCAAAGAAAAAAAGGTCACCAAAATTTATATGTGTGTACAAACATGATCATTTCCATTACAAAATAACCTTTACACTTCAAAATAATACGATATTAACTTTTATAATCTTTCTTTTTGTGAACTAACCCAATGAATATTTTGACATTGTGTAATATGTTTTAAATGATTTTATTTAATAAATAGGACAATGTAATTAAATTTTTTATTGTGCTTTGCATCAAAACTGTCATGGAATTTTTTAAAAAATATTTGTAAGACAGTTCTTATCTAGATTTGCATCATAACTTCTTAGAATATCTTTGCGCGACAATGTCTCTTGTGGTGAGTCTTAGGCACTGCCTTTTATATCCTTTTTTAATCTAATAAAATTGGGGGATGTTTGTCAGGTACTGTCTTGGATTTTCTTTTAAAAAAATAATTTTGTTTATTTGATATTTAACAAATTACTGCACAAGAAATTCAATTACATAATGGACTAATTTAGAAATATAACTGAATATGAAAGCTAAAGTGCAAGTAGATGGTTATATTAATCAAAAACAAAAATTAAATTATTTTTTTTCCGAGTCATTACTTCATCAATGCCTTATTTATTATCACCGTAAAAGTTAAGTAACAGATAGCAAGTACAGATTTATTAATCACCGACTACTTCAATGAATGCCCAATATATTGTAATCTCTTATCACTTTCATCCACCATACACCAAACAGGTGTAGCTGAAAGTGCATGATATATATCACACAACTCCACTCATTAGTTCTCTAGTAGTAACTCGAGTACAACTTAAGAAAGCTCTCATATTCTCTTTGTATTTGACTAAACCAGTAATGGATGATCAATGGTTCTATGATCGGTGTCAATTATATTTCATTACTAAAGATAGTTTTAGCACTCATAATACAAGCACTCATAAACGTGATAATTTTGAGGGTTTCATATGTTTGAGCCGATTTGGAACTAAGCGAGTACTTGCACCATATCAACCAAAAGTGGAGGATATGAATAATGAACAGGGACCAAGAGCCAATAATGAACAGGATGGACATGGATATGGAGGCAATAATGAACAGGATGGACATGCAGTAAATAATCAAGAGGGCCAAGGAGAAAACAATCAAAGAGCCAACTGATTGGAAAACCTTAGTCTGCTTGGAATTATCTATGTGTATTTTTTACTTTGCTTTTCCTACCGGTTATCAAAAGATAAATTAGATTGTATCACCAAGGCATTGCTTTGTTGGACAACTAGTCTTTTAAGGTTTTAAAGATAACAAATCATATTTTGTTGGTATTCATGTTCAAAGACAAACCATACGTCTTTTTTTTTTTATTCATTAATCTATTTCTCAAATATAATGTTCTCATCACCTCTACCACGTGAAAAACAATTAAGTTCGGTTTATATGTGAGAATCTAATAAAAACTACTCACCTTGATAAAATTACTATAATTTATTTCATAATATATGACATGTAATTTTATTTGATCTAAATTGTTGTTTTTACCGTTTTATCAAAAATTAATGTATGTACTGGTGATTGATTATTAAATTTTGGCGAATTTATATTCAGAACCATCCTTTAATCAAAATTCTTTGTTTAAATGAAGTTATTCCATTGATGAGTGGGCATAGTATTTTGCTGTTAGGACTTAGAGGTTCTCACATAATACTTGCAAAATTACAGATTGCAAAACGACTTTTATGCTCACATATAGATATGGCAAAGATATTAGCGCAATGTTAGTTCGTGTTCTTGTATTAACGTCATTTGGTAAAATACTTTTGTCAAAAGGTTTGATTGTGTGATGTTTGTGCAGATTATTGCAACATAACTTAAATTGCATAACTTATATGTTTTCATGTGCAATCAACTTTTTTTAGTTCAAGTTGAAACAAAAGAGATGTTTTGAAAATTCGAATAATATTGTTTTCCAAGCTCTTTTGAAAAATGGCGGAGACGGGCTGGGGGCACTAGCCATCATAGGGTAATTTTTTAATAATTTATAATGTTTAATCTTGAATTTTTTAATGTAGCAAAAAAGGGGTGAAACTATTACTAGGAGGTGGGACCCACAGGGATGAAAAGTAAAAAAATTGAAATCTAATTTTTTAATGATTTTTAATTTTTCTTATTAAATAATATATTTATTATTCTATTATTAATATAATCTGTAATTTTTCTTTTATATGTAAGTGTTCCAAGTAAACCCTTTATTGGGTAGGGTCAACGAGGAAGTCGGGAATATTGAAAATGAACCAAAATAGTTTTAAAATAAACTATAAATATTTACTCCATATATATGTTGATATAGGGACTAAAATATAAATTTGAAAAATATAAGGGACCATTTATGCAGTTTAGTCTTTATTTATATTATAATTTTCTTACTTTTCAGTTACCTTTATATATGCATATATATTTTTTGTTTTAATTTATGTCAATACATGGTAATGCTATGTGCTCTGCCAAATTTGTCTTCTAATTTCGCCACTACTTCTGAAATTTTGGATACCCCTACAAAAATAGTAACCGCATCTCCTCTTTCTCCTATAAAGAATAATAAAAAAATTTTTACGAGCCAAACTCAATCCTCCTATGTTAGTCGTACTTAGTTTCTTGGCTTTCCAACGATTTTCTTGATGACCCGTTGCAAAGACGAAACAACATATATGAAGGCGATTGAAGTGCACTGACCACACCTTAAGCTGGTAATTTTAGAATTGGATTCTCTTTGAAGCAAAATTCATGTTTACTGCCTTCCTACAACTTCACTGGTGGTAAGTGATACAAAAATTTTGATTACTTAGCACGAAATTTACATCTCTCATAGGAGATAACTAAGTAACTTTTAGACATTTGTTCTGTACTTACCATATTTATGTGGGTCATCAAATACAAAAGAAAAGGAGAATAAAAAAAGAATGGGTCATCTTTATCGTGTACAAAGTAAATCCGGTGAAGAAAAATGTGAAGTAAAAAATTAGGGTAATGAGATGATGATGCGGAAAATTCAAACCCTACATTATTGTAAGACGAATGAGCTTGTTCTCGTAATTACTTAAACATGAATTTGATTCTATATAATTATATGTGGTACAAAAATAATTCACATTGTAAATTATTTTTATGTGATGGAAGAAATATTGGTTTAATTTTGGGAATGGCCAGTGTCGTCAGCACATTATTTGGCATTGAATTTTTCTTTATTAGTCCTTACCATTAGTATTACTACACAGTTTCCTTAAACCCAAAAGTAACATTTGCGGTTTTCTTTTCAGTTGTTTGCAAATTGTGAGATCCGAGATAATAAAAATTGAAGTTCATTTCACTCACAAAAGAAACACATATATGTTAACGGCATGATTCTCATGGGTAAATCACCTTACATTAGATTTGTCAGTGAAGTTGGTCAAAGTGTCGAATCAATGGATTTTGGCACTAATCCGTAAACTTGTAAAGCAAATATTCACATGGTTCAACCACTCAGTGCTCAGTGTTCAGTCGGTCCAATAACGGCACTAGACAGTAATTTCACGAAGTATAAAAAATTATTGAAAGAACAGTGACTCGCAATGTTCTCAAGGTAATTTTCCTCCCAAAAGATCCTCTTAAACAGCTACCATGGAATGAATGTACCCGATATTTAAAAAGCTAATCAAAATTACACAAATCCAGGTAGGTAGGCTGCACATTCCTAGATATTCGACATTTTAAAAATGATACATTCAGGTAGCCAGAATTCAATGTAACGGGAATGAATACAACAACTGATAAGCTTATTTTCAGTTTAACACCAATGTGCAGATGAATGGATCCTCAGGCTCAAAGTTCACTTGAGTAGAGATCAATGCTACCGATCTGAAACCTTGAAGTTGATTTTGGATCTCTAACTGATGTAAACCTAAACCTGACATTTTCCGTAATTAAAAAACTGTGTTAACTGTTAGCATTGAATGCTACCACAGAGAAACTGAATAATCCCCTTGAAATTTTACCTGAAGGTATTCGCTGATATTCCCGGCGAGTTTATCTTAAATAATTTCCGCTGAAAGCGTTCTTCAAACTTTTGAGCAGTTTGTTTATCCAAAATATGCCAACTTGATCCTCCATCTTGACTTGCTTCGAGCACCCTAATCAAACAAATTCATAGTAATTCCAGTAAAAAAGATACATACAATAGGAAATTTGCGTAAAAACAGCAAGCTAGTCCAACAACATTATACGAAACTTATTAGTTTCGGCAAAGTCACAATATTCAGGTATTTTATACATCCCTCCAAATAAATTGACGAGGGAACAAGGCAAATACACTTCAGAAGCTTTTTTATTCAGCTGTAAAGGCTGACTCAATTCTTTAATTAGAATTTTATCATCCCATTCCGATGCAACAACTAATCCCAAATGCAAAGAAATATAGCATCATCTTTACACTCTACCAATGCAGAGAAAACAAAACAAAAACTAAACCGACTCTACTACTCATATCTACACTCACTCCCAACGTGACATTTCCTTCTCCATGACAACTCCATACGCTAGTTTGCACTCTCAACCCTACAATCAATCTCATCAGCACCATCCCTACAGGCCTAGAGTTCTCCTAAACAACACTTGCCATCTATGTTTGACAATAGCCACAATAAATTCTTCAGTTTTCCCCAGCATTTCTCTCTGCAGTTCCAATCAGAAAGCCCTAAGATTGTTTTCTAAAGTCCAGCTGTAAAGCAACTAATCTTGATCTTGGTTTCACTAAATGAAAATAATCATACAATAGAAATGAGATGTCATCACTGATTCCAATTTAAACAATCATTACGAAACAATAAAGAACCAATGAATGTATTCACTTCCTGTAACCCTAAGTATACAGTTTCTGATCGAGTCATATCCTGAAAACCTTTGGGTTGCTAGTCATGACTTTCGCAGACACAACCACCTACATCCAACATATGACAATATGCATAGATACTCGTGACTTTCTCAGGCATCATTATCCCAAATTTGATTTAATGAGAATACTAGTACTTCCCTGGGAAAGAGACGTTCAATATTAAAGGGACAATGGTCTAGGGAGGTTTTATTATTCGTGAAGTTCTATGGAAGGGAGAAATGAATGCTGATAAGAGCAAACAGAAGCAAATGAGACATTCACCAAAATCTGTCTCCACAAGCAAACTGCAACAGAGCTGCAGATGGCAATGTTGCATGAATTTGCCACATACGCTACACTTTTCCACAAGAAAGAAATCTGCGACACCATACCATTCTGCTGGATCCCTTTCTGGAGCGTCATTCGCGGACATAAGCTCATACGCCACTATCTTGTATAATGGATCTCCCAATAATTTATAAATAATCCAGCAACCTACAAGAAGAGTAGCATAAGTAAGAGATGGGGTTTAACTATGATAGCTTAGGAGATTGAAAAAATTTGCAATAGTTATGGTAACGTGCTACATGTCAACTCAGTAAAAAAGAACTGAACTCTTTCCTTGCTAGGGATTTATGCATTTTCTTTTTGAAACTGTTTAGGGGGTTTAAACAGAATTCATGGGTGGATAAAGCAAAAGTATATCCAACGGGTAGTTTATTCGTGGGCTGTATTAGTAACAAAGATATGCAAAAAAGAAACATCCTAAACAAAATGGAAACATAAAACAGAAGATTTGATAAGCTGCACAACAGAAAAGAATATGATCACAGTTTGAAATCCTCAACTGTAAATGTCAAGATTTTACCTACCACAGCCAATAACGAATTTTTTAATCTCCTCTTCCATTACAATCCTGGTTTTCTACTTCTCTCAAGGTGCCTCTTCTTCATTTATATTCATAACATTCTTCAACTTTATGGAGGGGATTATTTTATACAAATATAGGCATCAGATGTAAAGAATCAAATCCCTGATTTGCTATTTCATTTCTCAGAGAGAAAACTAGCCTAATCATTATGGACTAATTAAGTAGAGTAATACAGAATTTGATTATCTATTTGCCGAAAGTAAGATTCCTACTTTCCTCACATCATGCACACAACCACTTCAATTCTGGTAAGAGACCACTTTACAGACCAGAGAACCTGAATCAACAAGGGCTCATCTATAAACACTAACAGTTTGTCAACATAAATTTTTTGTACGGCTTTATCAGGATATTCTACTAATTTTACTTGAATTATGCTTTGGTATACCTGTTGCTCCATTTGGCTCTTCCCACTTCGACATCCGAGTTCCATCAAATGCAGACGTGGCCTGATGTCAAGAGATAAAATAGTAAAAAACAATGCTCCAAGAAACATTAAAAATCACAGAGCTCATTCCTGTCTCAGCAGTATCTCATCTGGTAAAAACCTGAATGTAGAACTCACACAGATCAAGGGACTTACTATTCCAAAAGGAAGCTCCTCTCCACTTGCAAGGACAAAACCACAACTTAATCTATTTAGTTTTAGTAGTGGCCATGAGATACTAGTGTTATCAAAACGACCAATGTGATTTATATGAAGTATGAGATCATCCAACGCATGGAAGACAACTGGCAGTGCCAGGGATGTTTTTACAGGATCAGATGACAAACAAATATCCATACTGCCATTCACATCTGATTCAATTTTCAATGATAGAGCATCAAGCAATTTGGAAAAAGAAGGAACCATCTTCATGAATTTTGCACTGTATGAAACAGAATCCACTGATATCCTCCTGGTCTTGAAGGGGGTATTCTTAAGATTCACTAAAATCTCTTTCATAGATCTGATGATGTCACTAGCTTCGGTTTTTGAAGAAGTTACCTCAACTAATTGAGAAAGAATAGGAGAAAGTGAATTGTAAATCTTAGTGACATGATCATCTATACATTTACGAACTGGACAAGAAGAAAGGCCCAATGATTGAGAGCCAAATTCAGATCGTGCTACGCGCCATTCGACATCCCCGCTCATTCTTCCAGGTAAGGAAATTGAACCATTATCTTTTGAGTACAATTCTCGCTGAAGTACTTCAGCTTCATTTCTGTCTCGTTCCTCAAGAACATGAAGAGTTTGAGATGCAAAACTCTTTCTTCTTTCTTTGGTTATATTTGAGAGACTAATAGCAAGAGCAGATTCTGTAGTCAGAGTTCTTCGCCCCAGAACCTTCAAATACCAAATAATTTTTCACAGTCACCACCCACCAAAGTGTATAGAATAATATGAAAATGACTAATAAAAAATAGACTAAACTGTATAAATGGTCCCCTACATTTGTCCGAATTTAAATTTTGCTCCCCTACATCAACATGTATATGGATTGAGCCTTTACATTTCATTTTGAAACTTTTTTGGTCTCTTTTCACTGTTCCGTCACCATTTCCGTCTTGATGACCGTTGACCCTACTAAGTCAGGGGTATTTTCGGAATGACACATATAAAATCAAAATAACAAATGTTTAAATGGTCCCCTACATTTGTCCGAATTTAAATTTTGGTCCCCTGCATCAACATGTATATGGATTGAGCCTTTACATTTCATTTTGAAACTTTTTTGGTCTCTTTTCACACTGTTCGGTCACCATTTCCGTCTTGATGACCGTTGACCCTACCAAGTCAGGTATTTTCGGAATGACACATATAAGATTAAAATAACAAATGTTTTTATAATAAAATAGAATAAAATATTAAAAATTATTATTTTATAATAAAAAATTAAATAATTTAAAAATAAAAAAATTAAAATGATTTCAAAGTTTTAAATTTCAAATTTTTTTTTCACTTCCCACCTTTGTGGGTCCCACATGCCAGTCAATTTCTCCCCCTTTTTTTGTTACAGTAAAAAAAATCAAAATTAAAAAACAAACTTACCTTCACCCGTCAAAATTAAAAAGTAAAAAAAAGACGGGTGAAGGTAATTTTACTTTTTAATTTTGATTTTTTTTACTGTAACAAAAAAAGGGAGAAAATTGACTAGCATGTGGGACCCACAAAGGTGGGAAGTGAAAAAAAAATTGAAATTTGAAATCATTTTAATTTTTTATTTTTATTTTTAAATTATTTAATTTTTTATTATAAAATAATAATTTTTAATATTTTATTCTATTTTATTATAAAAACATTTGTTATTTTGATCTTATATGTGTCATTCGGTAAGTCACGGTCATCAAGATGGAAATGGTGACGGAACAGTGTAAAGAGACCAAAAAATTTCAAAATGAAATGTAAAGTCTCAATCTATATACATGTTGATGTAGGGGACCAAAATTTAAATTCGGACAAATGTAGGGGACCATTTAAACATTTGTTATTTTGATCTTATACGTGTCATTCCGAAAATACCCCTAACTTGGTAGAGTCAACGGTCATCAAGACGGAAATGGTGACGGAACAGTGAAAAGAGACCATAAAAGTTTCAAAATGAAATGTAAAGGCTCAATCCATATACATATTGATGTAGGGGACCAAAATTTAAATTCGGACAAATGTAGGGGACTATTTATACAGTTTAGTCTAAAAAATAAATATATTAAATTTAAGGAAGAACACATGAGTACCTCACTCCACTTCCTTGTGTAACGTTTAGTGACATCATATACTCCATCCCTTGCGATACCAATCACGTAGTTCAAATTCTTTTTCCACCTTCAGAGAAAACATGCATTGAGGAAGAAACAGTAAACTTATGTCCATCAAACAATTTGTTCTGCAGAACTTGTGATAAAAAATTGGAGTATGTGAATCTTATCCTTACTACTAACAAACTGAAGCATGTTTCATTAAAGAAATATGACTAGCAATATGAACAGCTGAGAGGAAAATCAGAAAATACAAGTACTTAACAAAAATTCAACGGTAATGGGAACAGAGAGTAATACCCTTTCTCATACAATAATGGATTGTCAAAAATTCCTTCACATGGATCAAGATGCATCCATCTGTGAAGACAAGACGAATCGGTGAGAATATCTTTCGCAGAAAGAATAAATAGCTGAAAACAATATGAATGTACCTTCCTAGATGTGGTGAATGGCATTCTGTCCAAACATGGTCAGTGAAGTCCAGAATCTACAAAGGAATGGCACTGCTGACGGTGAGAAAGTTCTGGATTTAAACTTCGTATAATCGTAATAGAATTTGGGCAGAGACATCAATGAATAATAGGAAAGTGGGGAGAAAAAGGTTACAAGCTCGCAAGAGGAATGTTCACTTCAGTCGACATAGTAAACCGTATAAAGGATCCCCAGCAACCAAATACAGGTAGATTTGAACTCTTCCAGGGAATATAAAAGCCAATTGTGAAAGTCAAAGTAAACATAGCGAATTTAATCAAGTACACAAGTTGGAACTTCTTTATCCCCCCCATGGACTTCCACTAACACTGGACCCAATTTAATATTACCTAATAAAACAAGTGGTGTGGCATAAGGACACTTAAAACATCCAAACACAAGAACAACACCTAAATCTACATACCAACACATTTGGTGAACGATAATACTGTATATTGCTGGAAGTTTTAGTGATATGTAGGTTGGTCCATAAGATATTGTTTTAACAGATACTTACCAAATGCCTTACATGTACAACTACAGAGATAAAAGGGGACATTTATACCAAATGCAAGAGATTATAACATGAGTATATATTAGTGACCACGCTCACATCAAATATGCCCAGTAAATGAAGGTGCCAGATTTATTAATTTCCTATAATCAAGATATAGGGGCACCACCAAAGAGTCCCTTAGAGATTCACATTTTGTAGTTTGTTATGAATTAGATTTGAGTACTTTCGTAAGCTTCACACTTCAAGTCCATTTTCTCAGAAATATATGTGTATAAAGATTGTTAAGGTTTGTGCAAATAGCTTTAAAAGACATTCAATAGCTCAAACTGACAAACAGAGCATCATACAAATGGAATATAGAGAGGTGGATGTCGTAATGGTTCACGAGTATTTGTTAACTAGTAAAGTACCAAACCGCAGTCCACAGAATTCAAGGTCAATAGGTAACTGGTTTATTTGCCTAAAAATTATATGCATAACTATTATGAAAAAGTCTACAGCAATCGCCACAAGAATCCTATGTAGGCATCAAGCGGTTCTAGTACATATTTTTCTCATTCAATTTAAATTATGGCTTTTGCCTTTTACAATGGCTATTCCCAACATTCTCCAAGCCATGGTCTTTCATATGAAATTTGGCCAATAATTGTATGTAGTTTACACATTTTACCATTCTCCACGCATATGTTTAACCAACTTTAAAACTGTTTCTCATGCTGTAACATTTTGGTCTACCCAAGTATTTCTAACGTAACCTATAGAACCTACTATTCATCATGTCCACTACCATCATTCTTTCTCAGTTAACATTTATTAGGCTACTCTTTGATCCATAAAACACTGCTGGTTCGACAACTATTTCATACTTCCTCTCTCGCAAAATACGCATGTTTTCTAAAGCTTTAATAGATTTATTACTGGATGGAAGGAGTCATATTTTTTTCAATTTTAGCAGTACAGCAGGTTCAATGTGTCAAAATAAACTTTTTGTTACCCCCATTATTTTTGACAAATAACGAATGTCCTCTGTTATGAAGGAAATAGATAAATGCCAAGAACTACTCCCAGCAGGCAAAAGATAGTACTTGGGAATTCACCAAAAGTAGTATTCAGAAGAAGTTCACCCAATATTTACAGTCTTACACGTGTTGTTACACATCGAAATATAACTTTGTGATTCTTATATAAGAAACTCTTCTGCCTTTCCTTTATAAGAAACTTTATTATAATCTTTTTCAAGAGCAATATGTACCATTTTTCTCTCATTAAAATGCCCAGATAACCCATTGATGGATGTTTTTCTCTCATTTTCTTTTAGTTTTATACAAAGACTCATTGATTTGATATCAGTAAGATGTTCACTTCATATTGCAATTTTAACTTCAAATATGAATTTTGCCTTATTAGATATAAATTCTTCTTTCTCAGATTTGTTTAATTTTACCTAGCATAGTTTCATCACCATTAACTTGGTTCAATAGGTTAAAAAGATTTCCAATCCATCACTCTTTCATTACTTTTCATCAAGTAAAACCTTTTTCGTTCTCATCTTTTAAAACATACAAAATACATAACATTTGATTTCAACCTCCGACTTTTTTTTTCCTTCTCATCTTTTAAAACTTACATACATAACATTTGGTTTTAACCTCCGACTTTTTTTTCAGCCCCTTATTTTACAACTCCTCCTTTCCACTTTATCAAATATTCTGTAACTTTTTCATTTTTAAAGCCTGCTATTGCCTCATCACTGTTTCAACAACTTAGTATATATACATATTTGGATATTTTTACACCTTCCGTTGGTGCATATATATATGATATATGTAACTTGACCTTTTAGCTACAACTTTCTTACTTCTTGATTCCACCAGTAAGATATCTTATTTCATATACTGCTCTTTGACCCTTGCAATACCATCGCAAGAATTAGGGAGTACTTTCATTTGCCTGATTACAATTTCTTATATTCACTGCTTCTTCTTCCACATTGTTCCTTAAATATAGCTCTTAGATTTAATTTTTTAAGCCCCACCTATGTTACCTTGGGATTTTGGATATCTTCTGTTAAAAATTTAAATTAATATAAAAAAGTATTAACCAATTGATAGGACTTCAACTTCCACGTTTACATTACGGAATAATAAATCCACACTAACTGCGTATTGCACATCAAAAAGACATTTAACAGATACCACACCGAAATCAACTCACCAATCGAGATTCATAATTGAAAGCTCGACAATAAAGAGTAAAGCAATTGGCCCACTCCCCACAACGACCCTTCCTTGTTTCAAGGAGCTGCATAAAAAGAGATGATAAGATATTGAAAAACAAACATGGCCGAAATACTGATGTTGGTACCTTTAAAGGATCGTTATATCTCGGGAAGCGGGTGATGGCTAAGCATGAGGTACAGCTGTCAAAACAAAATTAGAGATGGCATTACGCAGAGAAGTATGTTTCCACAATACAGAGCAAGGCAGATTTGCAATTACTTCCAGAACAGTTTTGATCTCCAAAAGGAGTGAACCATCAAATAGAAGCCAGTAGTTTGTGCAAACACACTTAGTCATATCCGACAGCAATCACTTGTTATCTTTGATAAGCCAAAGAAGTAAAAAGTAGTAAAAACACCACAAGTATAATGCAAATTACACTGACATTTTGATGAACAATATACAGAATCATTTGTTTTGCCTCAGGAAGAAAATCGGAATCAACATTGTCTAGTAGTTGCATCTCGACCTCCTGAATGATATCAGGTCAACGTGTCCTAGAAGTAATGACTATCTTAATTAAAAAGATAAGTTGCCAGAAAAGAGGAAAGAGGATCCCATCAACATGAACTTTAGCATTATTTAAACGGGCTGACACTTAATAAATTGCAGACAGTCCCAGGTGGTTCCAAAATACATTTATTGGATATTAGATAAATCAACAGAATTCTGTTTTTACAAAATCCTAGACTTCAGGTCATTCTGGTCGTTACTTCCTCTTTCATAGTCTCCTGGGCTCTAGCACCGTTACATTTCTTACATATGATTACACAAACATTATTAAGCACACCAATGAAACAGCTTATGATCCAGACATAGCATATGAAAATGATTCAAGATACTTGGCAAAACATTCCACATCGCCTCATTCGCCCACATAGAGTGGACTAGACATTTGCACTGTGGAAAAATACGGAAAGATGCCATTTTGACGTTTGCCATGTGGACTCTACATCAATCACCGAGAAGGTTTGCTAAGTAAATTTCAGTATCGTTATTATAAGAGATTATAGCAAATAGAAGCAAGCGTTGGTATTATGTTATAAGTGAATAGATGCAGAGATTCCTTAAAAGGCGATGCAAGAGATACAAGATACAAGTATATAAAACTACTGCATACAGTAAAAGCCGATTCCTCAAAGCCTTACCGATAAAGCTCAACTCGAGATGCAGCATAACGAGTTTCAGAAGAATTTGCAACCCCCATGCCATGCCTTGTACTTTCATTGCCACAACTATCACAAGGAGGTGAATTTACCCACCTACAAAGTGGAGAACTCACTCAGCCAAATTGCAATAATTTAGTTACAAGGAATAAATTACTCAAAGATAAACTGATGCTACCCCTTTCAAAGTTTTCACTTGATACACAAAGTAATAATAAACAGTAGACGCTTTAAAGATGTCATAATTTCTGAGAAACATTATACCTCTTTTTGTGCTTTCTATTCATTTACCATCCTTTACAAGATGTACTTACAAATAAGTTCTCCTTCCTTGCTAAAGATAGGGATCAAAAGAAACTGAAGCCAACATGATTCTGTAAATTCCACAAGAGCACTAACATTTTTTCTTTTTGACGTTCCAAGATGCAGAGACAACAAGGTTTCAAATTTTAAAAACAGATATAACTGTCCTTACAGATGGGAAATGGGAAATGCCTTCACACATTGTCAATACAAATGAGGTACGATGGGTTCTCATCCCTTATTGCTTGTGTGATAACCTAGATCATTTTAGCTACGGCATATTAATTGTCATTCAGTAGATCCACTGATTTCTACAGGTTGAGTAGCAGAATGCACTGCCATAGCATGATGGCAGCAACATTGATCCACATAGCGCGATTGATTGCTTAGTTGTTCTTGTGGTTGTTTGTTTTGTTGTTGCATTAAGATGATTCATGGTTAGTAACATTAAACTTTAGTAAAACCTTCTGGCAGTTTGACATGTGTAAGTATTTACTAAAACACACGAATATATGTACCTACAATTGCAGACGTGTTATGCGAGGGTGAATGTGTATATAAAGGGAGAGATATTGATAACTCAATGAAAACCTGTTACGAAGAGGTGGCCCAAATACATCAATATGAGTGGAAACTTTAATCTATGGAATGGAGTTGGCTCTAAGAATTGCAATTTGTTGAAGTTCTTGGAAATTGCTTACTTTGGAGCCCCATTCCAACGAAAACAAAATTGAAAAACACAAGCAACAACTCATATGAACTAATAAATATACAGCATGATTGAGGATGACAAAAACCGAAGGGCTAGAATAAGCAACACCTGAATGACTGCTTGAACCAGAACAGTAGCTGCAGCAGGAACGCATGATCTTGTTCAGGTTTGGATGGTTGAAAAGTTCCCTCCTGAACATAAATAAGATTAGGTCAGAAACACACAATCGTAAGAGTTACAATATCTTTTTTTTTTTTTTTTGTTAACAGAGCCAGAATATCTTCAAATAAACCTATTGAGCATCAAAGATTACAGATATGAAAGACATATATATTGCAATTCTTCATAAATTCAAATAAAAGAAAGATAAAACACATACACGAACAATAACAACAATTAAACAGCCACTGCAACAACTTGGCCTTTATATGACTATGTGGGCCATCTATATATATCACGTCATGCACTACTTCAACCAGAAACATATCAACAACTACTTTTTCTCTCAAGACGAGCAACTAGAACTTGACAAGGTATGTAGCTAGGCGATTGCTTTTCCTTCCCTCTCTTCCTCAGCCAAGATCTAGGAACATCTAACATGATTAACTAACAAAAACATTTTAAAAATAATTCATATTGGATGACTATTATGTAATAAATAGCAAAAACTGTAGCTAAACAAAGATACTTTTACTTCTGTTCTGCAGACAATAAGTCACCAGCATGATACAACAACTACCTGATCCTTCTTTTTTATATCAAACCATTAGAAGTGTGGGAAAATGTCCGCCCAAAAATCAAACATTCCACACACACACATACACACACAAGCAAATTAAATTACTAACCCTAGCTAAAGCAACCAATGCCTTCTCCTCCAGCTTGTCAATCGGGACTGTCTTCCTAGCTGCTTCTTGACGATGTGGATCTTCATACTACAGCAGAGATACATAGAATGTACCAAAATTAAATCAACCAATGTTAATAACCACCAAAAATTAATCGTAGACAGATTCTAAACCACAAAGATAAATTTTTTTGAAAAACTGGAGGACAGAACCCCCCCCCCCTTCCGGGGGCCGCTCCAGAGTTTGAACAACCCATATGATACTTACAGGAAAATCCAGGATGCACCTACCATTAGAACTTGGTCAACATATGGTCGAATCCTCTGATCAACTATCTCTGTATTCTCCGCAGCAACAAACTGCTGCATCATAAGTGCATCTTCTTCTGCCTACACTCAAACACATTGGTCATATAATTATTGTTTACCTTTGGACTGATTCTATTTTAGCTGTCTCAAGGATTCCGTCTAAATGCAGAGAACCGAATAGAATTGATAATCTTAACATGCAGGCATTTAACATAATATAAAACCTAAAGCTTCCTGAAAGAGTAGCAATAAATTAGTTTCATAAACTTATCACCTAATTCATCACATTCTTGTTGTGAATTTATCCAATCTTGTCTGACTCATCTAGCACTAAACAAGATCAACAACCTAACACTATTAAGAACAATGACCCTACTGATCTAGTAAATAGCAGTGTTTGCATGGTTGTTAAAATCATGAATAAAAATATACAAACAAGAATAACAATGCTCTGGCATGTTCTGACGGAAAAAAAAGGAGTTACATCAGCAATGACCTGTAAAATGCGAGCCAACTCTTCATCAGATGTTGAAAATTCTGCATCGGACTTCTCTTTTTCCCCATCATTAATGGATACCAGCTTAAGCTTATTGGAGATAGTCAAGAGATCAGAGTCATCCAGTATTGTTGGACCATTTTCACCAGCCATTATCTGCTCTCAGATTCAAATTTACAACTATTATATTTTTTATACAAGTTTAAAAAAACCCTAGTTTCAAACTTAAAGTAATGGAAACAATGAAGAACTACATTAGAATCACCATCGCAACCACAGATGATCAATCCAGCAACATCGACATTCAAATCGACATTATAATTCAAACTTCATTGTTCACAGATTACTGTGTTTCTAACGGAAAATTCAGTTATAAATTAAAAATGGGAGCATGAAAGAAGATTTGCAATCTGCAAGCAGGGTTGACTTTCTAAAGTAGTATTAGCATTGCACATGAACATTAGCTTGGTTGTATCATGAAAGACAACTGGTATCATTTACCAAAATTCAAATTGAAATTCCAATTTCACAGCATAAAGAACACGGCTGAAATGACTTATCAACAAACATTCAACTATTCGATCATTAATTTTCTCAACAGAAACATGTAATCAGCAGAAATTGAACACTGATATTTCGCTACTGTAAAGAATTCCATTTTATTCAAAATCTGAAAACCGTGATTACCTTTTGCTGATCGGGAGGAACTGAAGTGAGGGAGAAGAGCTGGAATTTGAAAACCTGATGCAAAAACGATAAGAAATTGACAAATGATTTGCAGATGAATTGGGGAAACGAGAGAAAGAGAGACAAGACGGACTTCAAAGCCATCATCGGCATCATAATCCACGTCGAATGAAGAACCGTTGTGATTAACAACAAATTTTCGAGTCACCATGATTCTGTTTGGTTCGATTCTTTTCTTCTCCTGTTTTTCTTTTCCCTATTTTTATTCTACAATTTTCTTGAACTTCAGTCGACGAGTAAATGAGAGAGAATTTCTCAAAAATACGTCTACTCCGAATTCGACCGTACATGGACTCGATCGTCCAACGCATATACCATATATGCATTGACCCTCAAAACTGCACTATGCTCCTCATAGTTTTAAAATATTATGCTGTTTCCCAAATATTTTGAGGCTGCCAGTTTTGTTTTTTTTTTTTTTCGAAGAAGAAGAAGAAGGAGAGGTCGCCAGTTCAACACCTACTTCTCTTAATTCCAACCAAAATGATTATTGATTTATTTTCTTTCTGGTTTTGCTTGAAAATTAAGAAAGGACATAAAAAAATTTTAAAAAGATAAATAGGGGTGTGTTAGAGAAATAAAAACTTGTGAAAATTTTTACTAAGATTAGATGATAAAGAGACATCTGTAAAATTGCAAAACTAGGAGCACGAGGTATTGATTCATTAATAAAAATATTCTTACTCCAATATAGGAGGTCTTGACTCTTGAATTCAACTTTCATCTTTAAGAATACTGTGGAGTTTGGCTCTCTTTAGGCGAAGTCTATAAGCATCTCTTGAAAGGGGCTTGTTGAGGCAAACTAACATCATATATCCTGATTTTTCACTCGAGTATATCATTGAGAGTTTTCCTAGGGTTACAAAACTAAGGGAGAATAAGACGTGATCTTATCGAAATTAAATACGTAAAAGATAAAAAATAGACATGTTTTGAAGCCTCGAGTAAAAGTTCTTTTTTGAAGGTATGACGCCTGTTTTGAATACTAAAATTCACTTCATATCATCTAGTGTGCGGGACTTGTTGATAGCACATGATCTTAAGTTTAGTAATGAGGTTGAAGGTGTCTTCATTTCTACATATTTTGGATTGCATTTATCTCAGTTTCCAAGAAGGAAGTCGCGGATTATAAAGTGGATGCCGCCGGGTCCAAACTCTTTTGTCCTTAATTGTGATGGATCTTCGAACCTTGATGGGGCTGGTTATAGTTTTGTTATAAGGGAAGAAGGGGGTGTTTTTGTGTATAGCGAGTGTGGTTATCTTGGAGATGTAGATAGTTTCACATATGAGCTATGTGGAATCTTATTTAGGCTGCGCAAATGTGAGCTTCTCCAGCTATCTAATGTGGTAGTCCAGACAGAAAGGTCCTTGTTGATGCTTTGATGAGGCAAATAGGATTTCCATGGAAGCATTATCAAAAGCTAGTTGAGATGAGCAACATTTAGAAAGAAGAAGGTACTCTATTACCCAAATTTCCAGCTAAGGAAATGCAGTTACTGATTTTCTGGCAAAAATGGGGGCAATGGGAGAATTCAAGCTCTTTGATTCCTTTATTTCTCTTCCTAGTTTTGTAAAGGGACTGTTGGTGTTAGACCAAAGGTCATTCCCTTATTTACGTAAATGAGTATAGGAGACTCTTTTCTTTATTGTACTTTGCTTGGGGTTAGACTATACTCTGCCCTTTGCACTAATTTATTTAAGTGCAATAAAATTCAGGAAGAGGCAGAACTAGGGAACTAATTAGTATATATGTTCATCCCTTGGGTATACCCCTTGGGTGTATTGTGCTAATTAGCATTGGCTAACTTAAAAATTTACCTCTTGTGTATACCCCTTGATTTTTTTAAGTTAGTTGGAACTTGAAAGCCGACCTAATTTTTTTTCTGTTAAAAAGAAAAGGAAAAAAAAAAAAGACATGTTTTGAACCCATGTCATGTGTCCTCGACTTTGCACTCCAGTCTAGCACATGGCTTGTCTAGGATTACAAAAGTAAAAGAAAAGAAAACAAGCAATAATTCAAATTAAATGGATAAATGATGAAAATGGATATGCTTTTGTTGAATAAAAGAACCGTGGAAGACTTATTGCCATAAACTATTTTTAATCAATTAGATAATGTAGAAGGTGAATTAGAGAAAATTTAGAAACACAAAAATGTTTTACATACTATTGAAATGCAATCAAAAAAGCAGAAAGAGTCAAGCTAGGAAATGAAAAATAGTTTAAGTGTAAGTATTGATGAAAAAGCGAGGAGATGCCTAGGTAAACTTTGCATTGATAGGTCTACGTACATATTTATTTAACATAATTATAAGGAGAAATTACATTAATACCTTCATTTGAAAATAAAGGAGAGATAACGGAGGATAAGTGGAGAATCATTATTTATCCCTCTAAAGTGTGAAGGGAAAGGGGGGGGGGTGGAAGGAGATATACAATATTCTTTTAACATAATTCTCTAAGGAAATCCCTTTTGAGCCGTCAATTACGATTATGTTTGTTAACTTTTATTTATTGTCTTTGTTCTGGTTATGTTTTGTAAACCTCCATTCCTGTCTTCCTTGTGATTCAAATGAATAACCATGGTTATGCCTATTGTGCATTGCTAGTTTGAATATCAAATTTTTTGGCAGTGTACTTTTAACTGTCCTTTTCAACTAGGAATAAAGTTGTTACTCTTCAGGTCTCCGGTGGAGGTGATTAATTAATAAATTAATTGTCAATAATGTTTTGAACAATGTAAATAACACAGAATCGCTGAGATTGCAACATAATTCGCAAGTGATGCACACAAATATATATATAAACAAAAGCACTTGATTTTTCATGGTATTAAGAAAGTAAGTAAAACAAAAAATATGGGAAATTGAGTTATATATCCAACAACAATGGACCCCTAAGATTTACTCTAAAGTGTATTACAAAGACCTATATGCATTGAAATCCACACACAAACATAATCGAAACAGAAATATTTAATTTTGCGCGTACACATAGTGTAGTGCCAGAGTCTAGAGTCAGTGCAATTGAAGATGATCAATATTTGTTCAAGTCCCCATTGCCGGCTGATATGGATCTAAGTTCTAAATTACGGAATCATTTGTCGTGTACTCGTGCAGCAGACGACATCGTCCTGGCACGGGTTATCCGTGCCAATGCCCAATGGAATGTAACAAATTCTCCGATCTGGAGGACAGTCTATAAAAAGATTACTGTTTAGATAATCGGGATCTTTTTGAAGAGCACAAGAATCAGTTTGATTACAACTAAAACTGGCAAATTACTCATCTATATGGGTTTTGGGTTGAGAGTTGTATATTTTGCCTCATGACCCAATCCAACTCATTTAAGCATATATATATATCATATATGTATATATATATATATATATATCATTTAAGTATATATATATATATATCATATATGAGTTGGATAGGCTTAAAATTGTTTTCAATGACTCATGATCCAATCTGACTCAATTTTATATGGGTTAATATCGGTTGGGTCATAATATTTAAGTTAATTTAGACAACCCATGTGGGTCAATACTCTGACTCAACCTATAACTTTATTTGAAAATGAGCCATTCTTTAAATAAATGCATCTAATCAGATTAAACTTGCCACTAGATTTTAGTTTATCCACTTAATTTCTTGTAATTAGCAGTTACATTTATTTTTCTCAACTCATTTACAAACTCATAAATAAATCACATATATATTTTATTTTTTTCCTCCATAAAGAAATGATGTTCATTTTTTATCAATTCCTTCCTAATCCAATCGACTCCATAAGAATCCATTAAAAAGTTCTTCCAAAATGAACTTCCTAAAGCTCTCACACAAATTATAACTCTAACTTATTGCTTAATGAACCTAGCCACATTTTCACGTATCCTGCTCAAGTTTCACAAATTAACTAAACCAATATAACCAGATTAACCTAGATTCAACACATTTTCTACAAAGGAAACAAGCATGTTGTTTACCTACTAAAATTACTTTCCTCTTATTCACCAAAAAAAAATGAAAAAATTACTATCCTCTTTTCTCCGAGACTCATCCAAATAACACAAAATAGGCAAATAAGTTTTGATGTGAACCCACGGCAAATCTATGACACAAATCGCGAATATCCTAGCAACAACAATAACCAACACATTTCTTCCTTCAAAACTACCATGCACTCACTGTTTCCTTCAAAACAACCCGACATCCACTTTTCATGAAGTATCAGCTTATTGTGATAGGAATCCTGGATGGTTATGTTCCCCTTCATAAGTGACAATCAACATCGATGGTTTCTCCAAGTAACTTTCAACATGTTTTCTGGCAGGGTAGCCTCTCACATTGATGCATTATTAGTATCTCCTGCATATATTTCAAAGAAATGTCACTACAAACATTGTCAAAGAAAAAACTCTTGAAACTCTTCAACTGGTAAAACTAGACTCGGCATAGACAAAATTGCCATTACTGTCTCAAATGATGAAGCCATATCACGAAGCATTTGAAGATCCAAGAGAAGATCCATTGTATTGAGAATAAAGTGACATCTTGGCGGAGCTTGCTAATCAACTATTTTGCATCACTTCTCCTTCACTTTTGTAATCTTAGCTCCAATCAGATTCTCTATTTTACAGGTTTCTACCCTTGACAGCACTTGTAAATCATGAACTTAAGCCATATCATGCAAGTTGTTTAAAATTGAAGAATAATTATCTATGAGCTTGGTCTTACCTCTTCAAAGATAGCTTTGTTCCATAGCTTCCGATTGTCCCAAGAAATGAAAGATGGGGCAGCCATGATAATTTTCTTCCATGTTGATTTAAACCCTTCAAATTGAGTAGCTAACAATGGGGATGGGAAAACTAAAAGCCACAAGGAAATAACCACATACCTCCTTTGTAATGCGGCATTTACATGCATAATTTTCACTTTATTCTTGTTAAAACTTCGGGAAACGGCGGGAGCTTATTGTGCAACTTTCACAGGAAAACTGGAATTCCCAAAGGAATTTCTGGTGCCAAAAACTTCGCGCAAGCAACAACAAAGAATGCTTCTTTCGCAAGATCTCATGAGCTGATTTAATGGTGAATGACCCATTTGCAGTTGGCTACCAAAGGAGAGAGTCATCACCTTCATATCTAGGTTCATTAAAAAAGTAAAGAAAGCTAGGGAAAGATGTTGCATGAGTGTCGCAACATGTGCTTCTTTGTTTTTAAAAAAAGCCTTTATGCTCAATTCTAGCAAGGGTGGTTTTACACAAGGAAAAAGGT